ATAACTTTATAAAGCTTATCAGTAGTAAGTAAAGGCTTATTCATTTGAATAATTCAATTATTGATTGAATAATTCACTTGAAAATTCATTCTGAATTTTTATTCATCAATAAAATTCAGACACATTAAGTAGAATTTTTTTTTTTTTTTTGCGGTATTGGGTCTTGAACTCAGGGCCTTCACCTTGAGCCACTCCACCAGCCCTTTTTTGTGATGGGTTTTTTTGAGATAGGGTCTCATGAACTGTTAGCTGGGGCTGGCTTTGAATTTTGAGGATTACAGGCATGAGCCACTGGTGCCTGGCAAAAAACTCTAAGTAATTCTAGACCCAGAAAGTTGCAAAGATAATACAGAGAGGTTGCTTTAATTTTTTTTTTTTTTTGGTGCTAGTGATTGAATCCCCAGTGCCTTGCACAGGGTAAGTACATGCTCCACCACTGAACTATATCCCCAGCCAGAATTTTTCTGTACTGGTTAAAGAAGACTGAAAATGGGTAAGGGTTAGGATGGGTACAAATGTCAGTGTCACGCTGCACAAAGACGGTGCAGTAGGGGAGGGAAAGGAGATCTTTGCACCTCTCTTTTTTTTGGTGGTACTGGGGTTTGAACTCAGGGTCTCATGCTTGCTAGGCAGGTGCTCTACCACTTGAGTCACTCTGCCAGCTGAGATCTTTGCATCTTATTACTCACTTCTTGGAATATTTGTAAGAAGTTCTTTTATTATTATTATCATTGTGCTGGGTGGCGGTACATTGGAGTATTTACAGGTGTTCTTAAAACGTACCAAATGTATCATACTTAAATTCCCTCAAGAAGTTCTTTCAGAAAATGCTCAGCAAGGGATGCCAGTCAGCCTTTCACTTGTCCTCTTATACATTTCTTCTGCCGAGGTCACTCTTTGGTGATACGGGACATAGATGTCTTAGAAAAAGCTCAGCAAGGGTGTTTGCTGAAAACTCAGGGGGCGGGTTCACGGGAGGAGAATGTGTGATTCAGCATTAGGGCAGGGCCAAGGAGTCTCCTTCCGAACACTCCAGGTGCTGTGAGCATTCACAGCCCTCAAGTTAGCACTGTACAGGTCATAAGCTTGTTTTTTTTTTTGTAGTACTGAGGTTTGAACTCAGGGCTTAGTGCTTGGGCACTCTACTGCTTGAGCCACACCTTCAGTCTTTATTGCTACTTTATAGTCTTGCTAAAGGATACAGTTTCATGGGTGAGTTAAACTTTTGAGCACAGTGACAAATATGTTTTACATCTCCATCCATATATATAGCACATGAGACAGAGTCAAATGCTACAAGTGTTTTCTTACTGTTCTTAAAAACTTGATTTTATTTCAGTCATAGTGTGCTCCTTGAAATGGTTTCCACAACCAGTGTCCCCATCAGTTCAACCTCTCTGTAGGTAGTCAGTATTGTCCTTGTGAGGCTGGTGGCATGGTTGCTGAGATAAAGTGAGGACCTGTGACCCCCCTCTTCCTCTTTAGGGATTTAGCCTTTGAAGATTTTTTTTTTTTTTTTGCTGAAAACTCAGGGCTTCACGCTTGCTAGGTAGGTGCTCTACCCCTTGAGTCAGGGTGTCACCTTTGCTAGACCTGTTCTCTACCATTTGAGTCACTGCCACTCCTTTTTTATGTTAGATATTTTTTCAAACTGTGTTAGTTCTCCTGATCTCTGCCTCCTGAGTAGCTAGGATTACAGGCATGAGCCACTGGGGCCTGGCTCTTTGAGGATGTTTTTATTCTTACTTAAAAATGTTTGATTTGCCAGTCATTCACCAGCCACAGTTGTTCATTTGACTTTCTTCTCCCTTTTCTTTTTCCTTTTTGTAGCCTACAATTTCTGTCATTATACGGTGAAGTGCTTCTGTACGTTAACACTTTGGGATTGAGGATACAGCTCAGTGACAACAGTGCTTGTGCACAAATTCTAGCTTCATTCCCAGCACTGCAGAACAAAACAAGACATTTAATGCTTGAGTGTTTTATATGCTTATGAGGGAAAGGCCAAGAAAAACAAAAACAATCCAGACGTGAAATATTAATGTTCTTGCTGAACTGCCTAGGGCAAACATAACAGGTTGCATGGTGATGCCACCTTTAAAGTAATGGGATAATTATAAAGTTACTTAAATGAAATAACTTCTAGTTAAGAAAAATGGCTAATGGTCACCCTTTAATCAAGGGATACCTGCATCCTTTCGGTGTGAAGGTGTGTTACTGATGTTACACGTACAAAAATTGGAATTTAGAGGATACAGTTAAGAGATAGCACGGGGGGGGGGTTGGGAGGGAGGTGGCCCAAACAATGTATATGATACAATTAAAAAAGAGAAAAAAAGAGCTGTGAAACTTCATACGCTAAGATCAGCAGGGGGCGGTGGTACACATGCAGGTTGGTAATCCCAGCACTTGGGAGCCAGAGGTAGGATTGAGAGTTCAAGGCCGTGTTGGGATACATATCAAAAAAGAAAATGGTTTAGTTATTCCTCGTAGGAGGAGGCACATTTTTGTTCTTTGAGCTGTGGAAAGATCTGAATGTGTAATGGTGCAGATGAGGGCTTGTGAAGCGAAAACATGATTGTTTCTGCAGCAGAGGTCTCTCGTCCCATTAGTCACCGTACTTACATGGCTCCCCAGGTCCTGTCATCTTGAGAACCCCCTTCACACACATGCAAGGTTAAATGCTCAAAGTGACTTGCAGTTAGGAAGCAGGTAATTAACTGAAGCTATGCTAGAATCAAAACTTCCTGCACACTCTGCGGGAGAGAACCTTCCTTTTTGGATGAGCCCAGTCCCAAACTTCTTCTGTAGATTACAAAACAAAACAAAACAAAAACGCTTTCCTTTATGGTTTGTGTTCACTGTAACTTGTTGATTTGTGGTAGCCAAGTGTCTTCCAAAGAATTTTGGAAGAAAATGATCAGGTGTTAAAACCAGATACTTGGTATGTGTTGGCTTTACTAAAGTTCAAATACTTTTTTTTTTTTTTGGTACTGGGGCTTGAACTCAGGGCCGTCACCTTGAGCCACTCCACCAGCCCTATTTTTGTGAAGGGTTTTTCAAGATTGGGTCTCTTGAACTGTTTGCCTGGCCTGGCTTCGAACCTCAATTCTGCCTTCTGAATAGCTAGGATTGCAGGCGTGCGGCACTGGCACCCAGCAGTTCAGGCACTTAATCTCAAGAAAGGCATCGTGAACCTTCTGTGAGCAGGGAACGTTTTAGAGAGAGCATCAGAGATGTGCTCTCCACAAAAATAGACGTGGCATGAAGCGTGTGGTGGAGTTTGAGGGTCTCACTAACTGACCTGAAGCGGTCCTTGGGCCCTAAGCACCTTTGCCATATAGAACTGGGGTTAGAATACTGTTAGACTTAAACGGGGTAAAGTTAACATGCTAACATACATGCTTTAATGAGCTGCCTTTTTATGAAGGCAAATGGGTGCAGCAAGTTTAGTATAAGGGTCTGGCATTCTACGAGGCAGGTTTTCTAGAGCTGCATGAGAAGCAAGTTTGCTTATTTTATTTTATTTATTTATTTTTCTGGTACTGATTGAACTCAGGGCCTACACCATGAGTCACTTCACCAACCCTTTTTTGTGAAGGGTTTTTTGAGAAGGGTCTCGCAAATTATTTGCCTGGGCTTGCTTCGAGCCACAATCTTCCTGAACCCTGCCTCATGAGTAGCCGGGATTACAGGCGTGAGCCACTGGTGCCTGGCAGAGATGCACATTTCTTGACATTTGTTTTATTAGAGCCTGAGAATTGTGAAGATTTGTATTCCATACTATTGCTTTGTAATCTCGGATCTGGATCCATAAAGGAGTTTTAAATCAGTTTAATGAGTCTGACTAGCATTAAAAAATGAACTAGACCAGAGTAGGAAGAGAAAAACATCCATCCTTATGTATCATGTAATAAAGACTTGAGTGGTTTGTGAAACTTGCTTGTGTGTGTATTTGTGATGATGCGTGGATATATACATATATAAATGTTTTGGGGTGTAATTTGAAAATATTTCTTAAGTTAGTATATGGTTTAAAAACTTGGAAAGTCACAGCTCTCTCTACCTCTGTCTACTTTGGAAGTAATTTGAGTATCTGAGTTCTGGGAGTTTTTGTGATTTTTTTGTTTTGTTTTTGTGATTTTTAGAGGGCCTTTTAGGAGTTAGTATATAAGAATAAAGGGTTAGTTTTTTCTTTAGAGATTAACCAATAAAGTTGATTTATTATTATTAAATATTATTATTGTCTTAAGATTCTTGGATAGTTAAAGCTGAAGATAAAGCTGAATTGCTTTTCTTTCTTTTTGAGACAGTAGTTTGCTGTGTAGCCCAGGCTGGCCTCAAACATGGGGTATTCTTGCCTCAGCCTCCTGAGTGCTGGGATTACAGTTGTGCTCCACCATGTTTGGCTTTTAAAAGCTACTATAACCAGAGGAAGATAATTAATACATATATTTTTGATGTTTGTGTTTACTGAAAATGTTTTGTATAGTTCAGTGAATGTAGTACATGGGGCATTAAACATTAAGCTTTTTTTTTTTTTTTTGCCGTACTGGGGCTTGAACTCAGGGCCTTCACCATGAGCCACTCCACCAGCCCTATTTTTGTGAAGGATTTTTTGAGATAGGGTTTCAGGAACTATTTTTTTCCTGATCTCTGCCTCCTGAGTAGCTAGGATTGCAGGTGTGAGCCACTGGCACTGCCTAGAACATCCTTTTTGACTCAAGACTGGAAATGTATATTTTAAGTAAAGCCAAGGTATTCTGGTGTTGATTAGGGTAGCCATTTGGAGCATTTCTATTTTTACATAATATGTAGGTCCAAAGGAAATGGTGGTTTTTGAGATTTGGTGGGGAGAAGTAGTCAGTAAACTTTTGTGTATTTGTTTTAATATGAAGTAACTTTTAGGAGAGGTCATGTAGATTATGTCTTGTTTACATTTAAGACGTTGCGTGTCAGATAGTACCTTACCAGCTTCCTTTCTTCCTTTTCTTTCGCAGGTTTGGGCCCCATGGGATCCCTGTGACAGTATTTCCCAAGAGGGAATATAAGGAGAAACCGGAAGCCACGCAGCTCCAAAGTAACACATTCCAGCAAGGGCCACAAGTGAAGCGCGAAGTGAGCGGCGCCGTTCCCCAGGACCCCTCTCCTGTGCCCCCTCCTGAGCTGAGCCTGGCTGAAAGCCTGTGGACTGCCAAGCCGCCACCCCTCTTCCACGAAGGAGCACCTTATCCCCCGCCTTTGTTTATCAGGGACACATATAACCAATCAATACCTCAGCCCCCTCCTCGGAAAATTAAGCGACCCAAGCGAAAAATGTACAGGGAAGAACCCACTTCGATAATGAATGCCATTAAGCTTCGACCCAGGCAAGTCCTGTGCGACAAGTGTAAAAACAGTGTTGTTGCTGAGAAAAAGGAAATTCGCAAAGGTAGTGCGAGTGACTCTTCTAAGTATGACGATAGGAAGCGCAGGAACGAGAGCATCGCTACTGTGAACAAAAAGCTGAAAACTGACCCCAAAGTGGATGGGAAAAGCCACCACGAAAGCCAGAAGAGAAGCGCCGTGGTGAAGGTCTCCAGCATGGCGCACGGCCGAGGCAGGGTGGTGAAGGTGGCCCAGGCGACGTCCTCCAAGGCTCAGCTGAGCGCTAAGAAGGTGCTGCAGACCAAGAACATGGAGCAGGCCAAGGCCCGCGAGGTGCTGAAGATGGCCAGGGACAAGGCGCAGAAGAAGCAGAGCGACAGCGCCTCTTCCAGAGCCGCGCACCCCAAGGCGCACCTGACGCGGCGCTACCAGAGCCCCAGCTCCGGGGCCCTGCCGCCCCGGGTCCGCTTAAAACCGCAGCGGTACAGGAACGAGGAAAATGACTCCTCTCTCAAGACGGGACTCGAGAAAATCCGGAGCGGCAAGCTGGCGCCCAAGCCGCAGTCGCGCTGCACCTCCACCCGCTCCGCAGGTGAGGCCCCTTCAGAAAATCCGAGCCCCTCGGCAGGCCCCGAAGAGGCCAGCGCTGAGGCCCAGGACACGGGCCACGGGCCTGTGCCTGCTGAGCAGGTGCAAGCACAGACGCTGGGCAAAAAGGGCAGCAAAAGCAGTCTCTCTGTTTACATGAGCCTAAGTCAAAAGAAATCCGACTCGTGCAGTGCTTCCGTGTGTAGCATTGACAGCACGGATGACTTGAAATCCTCCAACTCTGAGTGTAGCTCTGCCGAAAGCCTTGGTTTCCCTCCAGGCAGTCTGCACGCACCCTCCGCCTCCTCCACCTCCTCAAAGGAAGAGAAAAGGCTCAGTAATTCCTTGAAAATGAAAATCTTTTCCAAAAACGTCTCTAAGTGCATCACACCAGATGGCAGGACCATATGTGTAGGGGACATTGTTTGGGCCAAGATATATGGCTTCCCTTGGTGGCCAGCCCGTATTCTCACGATAACTGTGAGCCGGAAAGATAACGGCCTTTTAGTGCGACAGGAGGCCCGCATTTCATGGTTCGGGTCCCCAACAACATCCTTCCTTGCTCTCTCGCAGCTCTGCCCCTTTTTAGAAAACTTCCAGGCACGCTTTAATAAGAAGAGAAAGGGCCTGTACCGCAAGGCCGTCACGGAGGCCGCTAAGGCCGCCAAGCAGCTGACCCCTGAGGTGCGGGCGCTGTTGACACAGTTTGAGACGTGAGCTCGGGCAGTGAGTGAGGTAGGCGAGAGCCTCTGGAAGGCGCCACAGATGCTCCACGGGGTTAGGAGTCATTCCCACGAAGTAGTTTGGCCACATGGGAGAGAAATTGCACTCAGTAAGGAACTGAGTGCCAAGGAGGCTTTTTATACTTACGAATAGCCATTTTTAGACTGAGAAGCTTAAACTGAACATGCCATGAAATTTTGTCAGAAGGAAGTGAGATTTTAGCAGTATTTTCAGTTTCGAAATCTAAAACCATCCCAAGGCATAGAAGCCATAGCCACCACTGAAACTGAATTTTCGCAGGGACTGCCCATTGCCATTTGTACCTATTACTGTACACACGCACACACACGCACTCACACTCATACATATATATATTATATATATATATAATATTACCTGTCACTATGTGACACGGGTTACCTATTTGGGATTTTAGTAAGGGCTGGTGAGCTGGGGGAGCAGTGGATATTTAATGACTACTTGTTTTTACTATTAGTGAACACAGCCTCTCTGCGTGCACAGCGGTGTAAAAGTTCGAAACATGGGTGTTTGACAAACCGAGCATTTGGGATTAACACTCAAGACCGGACAGGATTGAGCTGGCACGCTCTTTCATCCAATGGGAATATAAACAAACCTTAAAAGTTTCTGGTTTGGGAGTTTAGACAGGCTGTGTTTTGGATTTGTAAATAGTGACTGCTGAATTTGGTCAGATTTCTCCTGACTGGCTGTTCCTAAATTCTTAGGATACGTCCTAGTAAATTACACTGTGTGAATTCATGTCATATGTGTAATTGTTACATTTTGGATGTACCAAATTTGATAATTTTTAAAAAAAATTTCCGTTTAAGGTATCTGTTTGCAGGTCAGAAAATGAGAAAATGTAATTGTGTAATGCTCTGAAATGTAAAAAAAAAAAAAAAAACAAAAAAAAAACCCAAAAAAGCTGTAAATAAAATTGACTAAATCCAAATTATTTGTGTGTGTTTCTCAAAAAGCTTTGAAAAATTTCAAGGTGGTAGAAAATTATTCTTTGTAATAGTGTTTAGAAAAGGTGAAAAACCAAACCAAACCTTTAGTTACCTATTTGCCTGTCAGGGAATACATTAAGTGTGAATAGGTACAAATTTAAAATACCGGGAGGTGAATTGGTATATTCTTGGAGTGAGTTGTTGCATAGAGGTCCTGTGTGCTCGAAGTTTGATGCTCCCCTCCTCCCAGTCCTGTGTAGGTTTACTTTTTTCATTTTTAGCCTTAGTGTTTGATTACATGCTTTTTTTTTTTTTTTTTTTTAAGTTCTTACATTTAGGTCATTATAGTTGGCCTCTCTTCAGTTCAGATGTCACTGCTTTTGGGGCTAGTAACTTTTCTTGTTATTCTATTATTCTACATAGTCCATTTGTCCCTAATATTTAATTCCTTATTTTCCAAAGTTTTAGTTTCATACTTTAGCAGAAAATATACCTGATTGCCTGCAGAGGCAAGGTTGGCTCCCAAAATTTAAGGTGCTTTCAAACTTTTTGTGTCTTTTAAATTTTGTATAATTCCAATTTGACACTTTGGGAAACTTGAAACTTCAAGAGCAAAACTTTGTGGGTTTCTAAGAAGTCCAGTTTGAAAGGTGTTAGTTACTGTGGAATTTAAAAAGCCTAACAGATTGGAAGTCAGTAGTCTGACAGCTTCCTTACACTGACTAATAACCAGTTTCTACAGAAGGGTGTAGAATTTTTTTCTGGGGAATTCAGTCAATGCTTTTTGATTTTAATAAACACACAATAAAGATGTTTCACTTGAATAGGACATATTCTTTCCTGCAAACAGAAACTACTTTTTAAAAATTATTTAAATGTAACAGGTTGAAAGCAATTCAAGTGTGGTGGAGGGATTACAAAGGAGATACCTTCGAAGATTTTCTGAGTGTCTTTTAGACTGATGAGCTTGTTTATTTAGGTAACTTTGAGATTTTGAAATACAAGGCTTAGCAAGATTCAGTCGTCTCCTAACATGCAACCCTAAGGCTTTGCGTGATGATCAGGGCAACTTTTATTGTCATCGTGACTTTAAAGCTGGACATTGCTGTAATGTAGCCAGGTGCTTTGGCAAAGGGGCATTTGTGGCATAAACCATATATGGGTTTTGGAAGAACCATGATCATTGAACAGAAAAATAGACCAGAAGAGAAATGGCTCTGTTTAATCTTTACTCAAATAAGAGACTTAACATTTTATTTTCACTTTCTTTGCATGGTGCTGGGGCTCAAACCCAGGACCTCATGCTTGCCACTAAGCCACATCCCCAGCCAGCACCCATCCATCATCCAGACAAGATCCTTTCCCCCTTTACTTTCCTTGTGGCACTAGGTAGAAATAATTTATCCTTTGTCATATTAATAGAACACCAAGGTTCAAATGTGAAATATAAAAATAGTGCTTAAATAGACATAAGCCAAAATTTACGGTCTTCAAACCAGTTTTAGGATTATAGCATTGAATAATGTGTGTTGTGCAACAATCACCACGGGCCATCTGTAATCTGTTTTTTGATAGAATCTTTTATTTTGTGGTGTATTCTAGAAGGTATTTAGAAAGTAAGTGACAGCAGTGAGTGTCTGTGGTTGGACCCGGCTTCTGGTAGTGCCTGCCCTCCAGCTTCCTTGCTAGTCACCTGCAGTCCTGCACAGAGAGGTGCTGGTGTCCACACTGCTCGCGGTGCCTCCACGGTTAAGGACTAGCACTGCCCCTTGGTAAAAATCTTAGGTAAATTAGTGTGACTGCATGCACCTATTAAGAGTAAGTTTTAGTTAAAATTATCCCCTTCTAGTAATTTAGAGGACAATTTTACAAATACAAAACCACTTAAAGTTTCTTAGTGATGAAATTATTTGCCAAACGCAAGTTATTTACATATCATCACACTTTCTGTCACATTTTCATAATGTATGGTTTTCTTTGAATCACTCACTGCCCCCTTGCTGTGTCAGTGCAGTTAATGCAAACAAGTATGCCTTGACATAACGCGATAACTAATGAAGTTCTGAGGTCATCTTTGGTGCCACTCTTGGCTAGGCAATACTGAATTTTTGCATCAGGCTTCTATACCTGTTTTGGGATGGAGTAAGTCAAATTTTCATGGCTTTAATTCTTGAAAACTCTAATTACGGAAACTTTTTTTAAATTAAATTTTTTTTTTTGTAGTTCTGGGGTTTGAACTCAGGGCCCACACCTTGAGCCTCTCCACCAGTCCTTTCTTGTGAAGGTTTTTTGTCAAGATAGGGTCTCGTGAACTATTTGCCTGGGCTGGCTTCAAACCTCGATCTTCCTGATCTCTACCTCCTGAATAGCCAGGATTATAGGTGTGAGTCACCAGCGCCTAGCCTGAACACAGCTTTTTTTTTTGTAAAACGTTTCATAAAACTTTGTTGTTACAAACAGACTAGACTTTATTTCTTTTTCTTTTTTTTTAAATGCAGGGTTTTGCTGTGTTGTTCAGGTTGTCCTTGAACTCACAATCTTCCTGCTTTAGGCTGTGAATAGCTGGGATTCTAGTCATGCACGACCAGGTCTGGCTCCAGACCAGTTTTAAAACGTGGATTAAACATGAATTAATTTTTTTTTTCAATTTCCTGGTTATTTTGAAAAGGCTCATAGGGCTGGGGATGTAGCCTAGTGAAAGAGCACTTGTAAGGCCCTGGTTCGATCCCCAGCACCTCCCCCCCCCCCCCGAAATAATGAAAAGAAAGGTCTCATGTTGCAAAGGTCTCATTTTGCCATAAGAATGTGACAGTTATCTCCTTATATTGATAGCCTTAGAAATCTAAGTCTCAATCAGAAACCATGATTAGCACTCATTGTAGTTTCATACTGCTGTCAGTATCTAAAAGGAAAGCCAAATTCTGCGTAGCTGGTATTGGGCTTTTTGTTAGCATCAAATTCACCATCCTCTGCTGCTGGAATTACAGGTATGTACTACCACACTGGGCCTGAAGAGTTAGGCTTATATGACCTCACTCTTCCTTTTCCTGAAAGTGAAAAACAAAATAAAACAAAACTTGTAAGTGTAATGCATGGCAAGTTTTAACAAAGGTTTCTTGTTTTTGTTTTTTTTTTTTCTCTTTTCTTTCTTAACTATGTATTTTGTGACTGTTGGTGTCCCTTGCTTAGTTCTGTCTGGCCCTAAAGTTCACTTAAAAGCTACTGAAGAGGCCCAGTGTGGATAGATATGTCTGATCTGTAATCCCAGCATTTGGGAGGCTGAGACAGGAGGATGGAGAGTTCGAGGCCAGCCTGGGCTACATAGTGAGAAACTATCTCAAAACAGAAACAAAACCAAAAATCAAACACAGAGCTACTGAAAACCCCAGAAGGAGTATTGTTTTTCCCCTCAGGTGAAGAACAGTGGAAGTCTTGCTTGTCTGGGTGTTTATCTAGAAATGAGTGAGTCAGATGAGTGTAAAATAAATGGAGTCTTAGGCGCGTGCAGGTGAGTGGGAGCGCCAGCGGCTTTACGTCCGTAGTGCTTGATCGTTGGTAGCACTTGGCGCAGGCTCATGGGAGTTTTTGTTTTTGGTGGGACTGGGGTTTGAACCCCGGGCTTTACGCTTGCTTGAGCCACACCTCCAGTCCTTGGTTTTTGAGTTGAGCACAGAAGCATTCTCTCTCGCTTTTTAGGCACAGGGTTGCAAGTACAGGTGTAGAGCCAGAGTCCATAGATTGAAGTCCCACCTGGATCTACTGCTATGGACAGTGTGGTCTTAGGCAGATCCCCTCACTGTCACTATCTGTGAAATGAAGAGACTAATGGTGCCACCTCTTAAGATAATTATGAGATCTTAAATATATAAAGCAGAGTGCCTGGCACAAGACCTACGTAACACTTGCTGCTTCCATCACCACTCTGTATATATGACAGAATTGATCCTGGTAGCCTTTGGTGCTAGCTTTTGCAACATACACTCGGCATATATGAAAGTGCATTTGGGTCTCAGTAATCAGTAATCATGTGTGGTTATCCACAGGTACCTACAAGTAGCATGGACTCACTTTTTTTTTTTTTTTTTTTTGGTGGGACTAGGCTTTAAAGTCAGGGCTTCATGCTTGCAAAGCAGGCGTTCTACCACTTGAGCCACACCTCCAGCCATTTTGCTCTGGTTATTTTAACGATGGGGTCTTGGGAACTGTTTGCCTAGACTGGCCTTGAACTGTGGTCCTCCCAATCTCAGCCTCCCAAGTAGCGAGGATTGCACGTGTGAGCTATCATTGCCCAGATGGACTGGCAGGTTTTAACTGGTATTGGCAGAGGGTATCTGGTTGGAGGTCCTGGGAATGGCAGTGATTGGGATTTAACTTGCATTAACACTTCAGCTCTTGCCCCATCTCTTTCTGTGACATTACTGCACTGTCATTTCTGTTCTGCTGGAAGCACAGGCTATGAGTACTGTTACAGGAGGAGTAATTGCCTCAGACCGGTTCTGACCCCGCCTTGTGCCCTGCATTGGCCAAATCCTTTTCAAGGCATTGAGGAAAAGTCCCTGCTGGGGGTTCAGTGCAGCTGCGGGGGCTGGGAGGGGGCTGTCAGGACTGCTCACAAAGGCTACATACACACTTGTCATCTTTTTAGTCTGTGTTCCTCTGGGGCTCTGGTGCTTTATTGATGCTTTGATATTTTATTCATGCAAGGGGTAAAAAGAGAACATTGAACTTTTTTTTTCTTATTGCTCCTGGTATGATCGAGTTGGAAATTGTTTCTCTTCTAGAAGGGAAATACCTGACTTTCCAAGGCCTTGATCTGTGTGTCATGGTCATATTTTCCAGAGGGCAGTCATTTTTACCCCTGGTTCAGTTTTAAAAGCTGTTGATTACAAGCCTATGATATTCCCCCCAGTTTAGTTTGGGTGAGGAATCTGGCCGGGAGTGGCAGATGTTGGTGTGAGTCCTGGTGTGCTGGGAAGACTGTGCAGTTTGTCTAAAACTTGGAAAATAACTGGTTAGAAAAATAGCACTAAGGCTAGTAAGCCAGACTTTCTGCTATAAAACGAGGTGCCAACCCTACATTTCCTTCCTGCATCATTCCGTCTTAAGACAGTTGGTACTGAGTGTTTAGTGAAATACTAGAGGTGTGTGATCTGCATCTTCAGCTTTTCATTCTGGGCTTTGGGCCTGGGCACGGCCACCTGCATTTCTTTCATTCGTGCTATGGGGGAGATTGTGTGCTCACCCTTTTCTGACTTGCTCCTGATGTCTACTGCCTCCCAGGGGCAGCGTGGCACTTCAGCTTTCTCTTAAGGACAAAAAGGTAACTTCCAGTGACGGCACTGTGTGGAGGGCAGCTGGGGCTCCCTGGCTCTTCAGGGGAGTATCCTGTACTGGAGTAAGAGTCTGAAGAAAACTCTGAGGCCCTGAAAGCAAGCTTGTCTTAGTAACCCAAGACTCACAAGCCAGGCTTTGGGGACTGGCGTGTTCATGTCTTAGGTGGCATTTCAGGGGTGGCAGGTGAGAAAAGGTGAGGTCATTCTTTCATGCGTCTTCTGAATCCTCGGCAGATTCTTTCATGATTGTTGAAACCCAACAAGTTTTCTTAGTAAGGGTGAGTTTTAAAAGATCAACTGGAGTACCTTCAGATTCCTTTTTTTCTAGTGTGTTTGCTGTTGGGCTAGAGTTCATAATATAGATACATTTTCCAAATCAATAACCTCATTGTTAAACCTCATTTTGAAAAGGTTTTACCTCTGAATTAGGACTCAGGAGTAACCAAGTTTATATATCAGGTTTTTCAATGTTAGAAAAGTTGCATTTCTATTATATGCTACTGTTTCTAATTTAGAATTTTATAAAGGCTGATTACTCTAAATCACTGATGCCAGAGTTGATTATACTGATAGGATATGTGAACTGTTTCTTACTTATACTTAAAACTAGAAGAGAAAGCAGACAAACAAATAGGCTTAAAACTAAGGCTGAAGATGGCAGCCCTTCAGTATTTGAAGTCTGTTCTGAAAGCGGAAGTGAGAAAACTTACCTTGTCAATTATTATTTCCACCAGTTACTACCTCTCAGTAAACAGCTCAGGTCCTGAGTGGCGTGTGCAGGTGGTCATCAGGATCACGGTAGAAAGGGCTTCCAGAGATTTTCTGTCATCTGCAAACAGGCCCGCTGAGCTCAAGAATGCTAAAACATGTTCTGGGTTACCACGGGGTCTCACGCCAACACGAGGCTCATGTTAGGTAGTAAACTTTTTTTTGGTCAGGGACATAGGTATAAGTTCACAGTTCCCCTTTCCTTTGTAAGTTTTTTGGAGGGTCATCTTGGCTTGCTTGGTGGCCTTCTGCTGCTGATGGGACTTGGGCTGGAGAGTGGCCTCTCCTGGCCTTGGCCTGTGTGTCTGCATGGCTCCCAACTCCCTTGCATTCTGTGAAGCTAGCAAGTTATCCAGAACAAATTCATTGAGAAAATTGAACCGCATTTTGGTCTGATTTTTAATTTTTTTTTTTTTTTGGTAAAATGGATTAAAAAGAACTCAACTGACTGCTCTATTTTTGTTAACTTGATTTTTTCTACCATAGGTCTCAACAAATGGCAGCTATTACATCAGACAGTGACGAATCCTGCTGCTCCCTTACAGTGTCTGACAGACCACTGTGGATTCAGACTGGGAGCATTGAAGTTAACAGTGAAACGGGCAGGTCTGTCTGTTTAAGCCCTGCCTGTAGCGAAGAGGGCGCCATGCCACCTGACCACTCCTCACATAGACTAGGCTAGACGTCAAGGAGTCAGGATTTCTTTATAGCTTCATTGACCTTGGTAGCTGGGTATACTTCATGTAGGTGGTAGGTTTTAATGAGTGAGAATGACTTTGAGTTGATACTACCTGCTGTGCTAAAGTAGAGCCTTCTGTGAGTTTCCCTGTGTTGAGAGCAGTTTCTCTTAAGGCGGTGAAAGTTGAGCACCATGTTACAGAACTTTGTCAAATCGCAACCAGCTCTTCTCTCAGTCACTCATATCATCACTGTAACTTCTCACATAGTCATTACTTACTGTATACATCAAATATATTAACATATTATGAAATGTTGATATACCAAAGCATATTAGTATATAACATATTAATCTCAAAACCACTGTCATTTACATAAGGCAAGTCAGACGCTGAAGGGTGGGAAGGTATACTACTGAGATGTGGTTGTAACCTACATCTTTTCCTTTTTTTGGTGGTACTGGGATTTGAACTCAGGGCCTCACACTTGCTAAGCCGGTGCTCTACCACTTGAGCCCCTTGCAGCCCTGTAACCTAATCTTTTTAAGTACATTTTTTAATTAGCTGCTGGGATAATGCCTAAGAAGACTCATTTTGAAGTCTCCCATGGTAGAAAAGGGTCAGGGATTTTCCTTGCTGTGATAGTCCTTTGAATTTAAGAGCCTTCTGTGGTTGCATGTGAGCTGTAATTTGCAAGCTGGGTCAGAGCGGTTTACTTTGCATCAGAGATGGTGACTGGATTTTGAACTCTTACCTGTGTGTTGGGGGGTAGCTACGTGATCTCTCAGGGAATAAGTTTTTTGGTTTTCTACACCTCTCATAGGAATTCTTGTCTTTCCTGCTCTGGTCTTCAGCTGAACTTGAGTAAAGTCAGCTTTTGAGAGTCACAGGTAGAAAGAAATTGATGGAACGGTGCATGGCATTGGCTCTTCTTGTCTCCTTTATGAAACGGAAACATTTATTTCCAAAGTTACATATGAGTCTAAGTCTATAAAGTGTTAACAATCATATTAGCTGCTGAATATCTTAGTTTTAGAAAATAAAACCTTGTTTTTCTCTTCCTCTTTTTTTTTTTTTTTTTTGATGGCACAGGGGTTTAAATTCAGGGCCTGTGCTTGCTAGGCAGGCGCTCTACTGCTTGAGCCACACCCCAGCCCAATCTTTTGTCGGCTGAATTTTTCTTCAGAGGCGAAGAAAAATACTTCACGTGTGCAGTATTTCTGGCTAGAAGTCATTCTGCATTGTGTGAAAGGAAATGTGATAGGATGCCCTGTGGAGTTGACTTTATGGGCCTTGATCCAGTGAGTGAGTGAAGTGTGGCAACACTGGGAATTTAATGTACAATCAGGAGTCTGTCAAATCACGGGAAAGGTAGCTGAGTTAAAGTGTTTGAAAGTTAAGTGTTGGGAAGGATGGGATAGTTTTTCTTTCTGCTCTTTTGTGTTGTTTGTTTTGTCTGTTTTTATTCCACTAAAGTACCATATCTTTGGTTTAAAAATTCATTTGACCAAAAACTCATCTTTCTCTCCAGGGATCACTTCTTTTGGAATTTAAACTTTTATTGGTACTTAGGCTCCCACGTTGAGAGGCATTACCGGGGTTTCAGAGGGGTTCCCACTGCTTTGAGGTGCGAGAAGGCGGTTGGCATTTTGGTCATGCTGCTTGGCAGTACTTTTCATCAGCTGGGCTCTCTGTAAACTGTGCTGCTGTCCTGCTTTGGGTGTTTCTTTGTCTATGGTTGGTCTAACCAGAGTGCAAAGCTGTCTTCTAGAGTCAAGATGGCGCCCCGATGCCTTCTCCTGTGCTTTGTCTACCTCTGGAATGGCTCCTTTTTGTTCTGTGCACCTGTCGTCAGTGTGGTGTGCAGCTGACTTTGATATGGTGAGGTAGTCTGGCTGGTGCTGGAGGAAGGCTGGAGTTTCCTAGTGCTCCACACCAGCTGCCCCGACTTACTGTGACTGTGAATTGGCAACGTGCAGAACAAAGCCACCATTCCCCTGTTATTAGGCAAATAGTCATGAGCAAGTGTTAAAAGCAAGAACAAAACTCAAGTGCAGATTTGTGAGCCTGATAGCCATTTTACTGATGTTGAGATTTGGCCAAAAATACTTCAAAAACAACCAAATGCTTCTGCTGGTTTAGAGGAGCTATAAGTTACTTTCTTAAAAACAAACAAAAACCACTGGTCACGTTGAACTGATTTCAAAGAGAGAATCAGGTGCGATCCCACAACCCGTGTAGGGCTTAATGTAAACAACAAGGACTTCTTTTTCTCGTAAGTATTCCGAACTTAACTACGTTCTCTTCCTTTTCTTTACTATATTTCAGCACAAAGACATTAGCAGGCTGCTGGTTTCACGGACCTGTACCACAGGACAGAGCAACAGAGCGTCAGAACTGAAGGAAATTGGTGATTTTAAATGCTGCACTAAGAAGTAAATGTTAAGGCAGTGATTAAAACCAACAGTCTGCAAAGGGGCACTTGCAAATCATGTTAAATGGAAGAAAAGGCATTAGGGGTATTTTATAAAACAGAAACTGTTGCAATAATGTGCAGAGGTCGAGGGGAGAAGTGTGGGTACGGAACTCCCTTGAGTGTCCGTGTGAAGAATCACTGACAGTGACTTCTTTTGAATGTGAAGTTCTTTGCAGAGACGTGGGATTATTTTTCATACTTAAACTTTGTGCTTTTTCCAGGGTTTATGTTAACAGTTCAGATAACAGCAGAGGTATTTCTAAATGGCTGTCCTATGAAGCAGCAATAGTCACACAGGCCAAGGCCCATGTCCTTCAAGGTGCCATCAGAACAACAGGAAAGATACCCTGTGTCATGCTGAAGGGATGGCACAGTGCCCCGTCCCACTGCACAAACCAATTTGGATCATTTCTTAATAGAGCAGGGCTGTATTATCTTGAACAATGTGTTTGCTTGTTAGAACATATTAAGATGTATTTATTTGCCACTAGTATTTAACATTTTGTGCACATTTTCATAACTACAGTCTTTTCATGTTTTGATCTTGGAATGAAAACATACACTCCAAGAGCTAGTTCTTAATTCTACTGAGCTGGAAAAAACTTATTATTGTCTCCATCCTTACTGATTTGTTCAGAAAAGGTGACACACCTGAATTGTGAGGTGACCTCTCCACAGAGAGCCCCTCCTCCTCAGTGCAAGACATTTTCCTAGGTGTCAGGCAGGACTCGGCCCTGGGGACAAGTGGCAGGAGAGATCCATAAAGACAGCCAGAACTTTCTGTGCATGGGACATGAATTCTTCACAGAGATGATAATTTTCTTCTTATCTTTGCTAAATACATTCTATGAAAAACCTTAATGTTTCTTTTTTTTTTTTAAATGAATGGAGAAAACATGAGAAACCAGATGGACCTGTTAGAACTACATTTTTAAGGCATTTTATATTTGATGGTGCCGAACTTTTAATAATACTGAAATTTTTTAGTGGCAATGCTGATTTATTTTTTAAACCAGAAAGATAATACCATATTACTTATTACAAAAAATGCCAAAAAACAGATAACCACACTATTCATTTGAGGAACACAACAGATAACTGAGCACTTGGCTCAAGTATTCAGACTTTCCATGATCTTACTATATAGGTTTAGAAATTTCCCAATAGCCCTCTGCTCAGGATTGACAAAAGGTTCTGGGTGACAGGTTTAGGACATTCAATATTCACCACTGTGAATTGTTTTATAACTCAAGAAGAAAAGGCAGGCAGACTTAAGTCTGGTGAGCTTAATCCTAACTGTACCATAAAATAATGGAGAACTCTGTATCATGAAGTCATGTGTTTTGTCACACTGGACAAAGCCTGCTCAGGAACTGTAGCAGCAGGGAGCTGCGGGGTGACACACTGCCGCGGTGCCTTGTGCAGGTGGCCCATGGGGTCCGGCTGGGCCAGCCGTCATCTTTCCACACCCAACACCAGCAGTGTTGTTCAGGCTTCAGGAACCAAGAACTCCCAAGCCATGGTGGGATTACACACGGGTTGTATGATGGAGGTCTTTAAGCTTTAGGGCTCTTTGTTTGGAGAGTGATGGAAATGACCAAGAAGTAATAAGGCGAAAGAGTTGGGAGGGATCAGGGTTTAGTGTAAACATTTTCTCTCATGACAAATTCTCAAAGGGGTTTTGTTATAAAGCAGATTTCCATTTTTCTAAAAATGGAACTTGGTGGTTCTTTAAGATCTACCATGCTGCGACTTCACTCTGCTTTAGTTGCTTAATATTTAAGCTTTGCTTCCTGCCACTTTTGGTCTGTATTTCACATCTTCACAAGCCTGTTTCACCTTGTGGACTTGAATGGCAACTGTCTCACGTAAGTATTCTCAGAGCTAAATGGTGAAGAATATTGTGTAACACTTATCCAATAAAGTCTTTGATTTTTTTAAAAGTTAGTAATTTAAAAACTGTTTTACTTTGTAAGGGTTAGTTTTTTGTTTTTCAGGAGTTTTTAAATATTATTTTTTGACTATTAAAATGTAGTCACTACTGTGCTTTAGGAAGCTTTTTTGAGTAGCAGTGTTTCCTAAGAGCATATAGGTTTCTAGTCACTAGGAGGCTTCATGGGGCCTCTTTATGCCTAAGAGTAGAGGAAGGGTGAGTTCTGTACATAAGCCGGCTGCTTTTCTTTCTTTCTTTCTTTTACGGTACTGGGGCTTGAACTCGGGGCTTACACCTCGAGCCACTCCACCAGCCCTATCTTTATGAAGGTTTTTTTGAGATAGGGTCTCTCGAACCATTTGCCCGGGCTGGCTTTGAACCTCAGTCCTCCTGATCTCTGCCTCCTGAGTAGCTAGGATTACGGGCGTGAGCCACCAGTGCCCTGCTGCTTTTCAGATGGAAGCAACACACCCTTTAGAGTTTGAGCACTTAAACATGCACTGGTAGGTTTGTTTTGTTTTAACTTTAAGGACTCCTTCCCTTATGGATAAGTTGTTGCTTTAAAAAAAAAAAAAAGAAAAAAAAAAGCCCTGTACCCTGTCCTCTAGGAGCTCAAGCGGTTGACTTGAGAACCAGAAACACTTAGTGGGCAGGAAAAAAAAAACTAGCCTAGGAAAACTTACCAGATAATTGAGATATTTTACAACTTTCCCAGAGAGTTAGGTCAGTGTACCTTTTTTCTTTCTTTTTCCATTTCAGTAAAGCAATCCTTTAGAAGGCTGCCTGTTATTCCAGAGTATGTCTGGAGTCTTTGATCTCAAACATTCTCCGATTTCAGTTTATCTAAATGGGCATAAAAAGCAGGCCACTGAGATGTGGCTCCTCTTTTTCTCAAGTTTCTCATTAATGAAAATGGAACTGGAGGGAACCAGGGAAGGTAGACATCCATCTGCAGCTTTTCTGGGAAGCCTGCATGAGACCGACCATTCCTGATCAAGTTGTCCATCTCTTGCAAGATCCAGGGAGCCACTGATCTCTCATGGGCGCCACTTAGCTACTGTTGATGCTGGTCTCCAGATGAGGAAGGGTAATTTCAGCTTCATGACTTGGAATCATGCACAGGCCACAAGAACTTCTTCCTTGTCATTCAAACACTTCAGCTGAAAGTAAGCCGTGTTCTTGCTTTTATACGCAATGCCTCGTTTTTCCTTTCAAAAAAACCCGATTCTTTTCTCAGTGCTTTAAATAAAGCATACTTTTAAGTGCTGAAGCATGCTGTGTGTTCTGCCAGTCTGCTCATGCAGTAACTCCTTTGCCTTGCTATCAAGAAGTTGTCAAAGCTGGAGATTTCAATTCAGGAACACTTGCCAGAGGAAGAAAGAGCTGACGAGACACTGCGGCGAGGCCGATTAGAGTTGAGAGTAGTTCTAGGGTCAGTCCTTCCATCGTCTTCCTTGTAGTTTGTAGCAAAGTAGTGGTCTAATGTCAAGTGCAGTGAGTTGGCGACACTAAAGAGAAGATGCTTTTATACAGGTAGCCTGCCATAGTCTAGGGAGCAGGAGACGTGGATTCTAGTCCACCAGTGGCCTTCCTGACCACAAAATCACTGGCCAAAACTGGAAGTAGAAATTGAATGTTCAAGCTAGCCACGGCTAGGAATTGAATCTTCATTCCTAGCCAAGGTTCAGAGTACTGGGGAGACATTAGCAGGTTTTGCACTTTCTGAGTACTGTTGACGATCAGCAGCTAGCACCTACAGGTCCTGTAAGCAGCTCGAAGTCACACGATTTCCAAATAAGGCAAACTGTAGCGTCTGCGTGACATGTCATAATGGAAAACACACCAGGGCCTTCAGTCAGCAGCAGTCGCAGAAGACGGGGCTGAAGTGCAACGCCTGTAGAAAATGAGGCAGGACTCTCTTTGGTGGAGCAGTGTCTCCTGGCCTCTGATGCTAGTTCCACAAAGGTGGAATCGAGTAAAAGCGTTTCAATGCCTGAGAGAGCCGTCAGACCTTTCCTCTCCCAGTGAAGTTTATGAGAGAAAACTGCCAATGGCATATTACTTTGGGGCAAATCACCCCAACAAAACGGCTTTGTGTGTCACATGTGGTTACCAAAGCCTACATCTTTCAGTGTCTGAGTACCATTCTTTATTTCTTTTGGTGGTTCTGGGGTTTGAACTCAAGGCCTCAGCTGCTTGCTAGGCAGGCACTCCACCACTTGAGCCAAGCCACCAGCCCTTTTGTGTGGTGTTTTTTTTTTTTTCAAGCTAGGGTCTGGAGAACTATTCGCTTAGAAGCACGATCCTCCTGATCTCTGCCTGAGTTGCTAGGATTAAAGGCGTGAGCCACCAGTGCCTGGGTCGAGTACCATTTTCACTTCGCTCTTCTCTTCCCATCTCTGGCCTCCTTGACTATTGTCAGTTGCTTGGAGTTTCAAGTTTGTGGATTTCTCTTTTTTTTCTTTTTGGTGAGACTGGGGTGTGAATGTGGCTTCATGCCTGCAAAGCAGGTGTTCTACCACTTAGCCATGTCTTCAGTCCATTTTGCTCTAGGTTATTTTGGAGATGGAGTCTCTGAACTGTTTGCCTGGGCGGGCCTTGATTGACTGGAAGCTGCATGCCTGTGTGCTCAGGTAGCACCCAGCAGCTGTCCTGTGTGAACACAGGTGAGATATCTGATGTATCAGTCTGGAATATAGTACCCCACACAGGGAAAATGGGGTTCCAGTATTTTCAGATCCAGCTCTTCACCTTTGGAACTAAAGGTCTCCCTCCACAGCTGTCATGACAGCCGAATGGCCAAGGAGCCCAAGTGCCTGTTGGCAGATCCCATTGTTGTTAGGCCGTATTTTCCAGCTGGGACCGAGGAAGGACAACTGGCAGGGACTGAATCACTACCACAGGCTGCCGGCTGTGGGCTTCCATGGCAGTGAGACAGTGGCCCTGCTGTGCCTTCAAGGAACACATGAGCTTCCAGTTTCCTCTGAAGGGCGAGGAAAAGAAGAGAGGGTGTTGAATTTCTAATTCTGGCTGGTTGAACTTTTCCATGAAGCAGCTCATTCCTCCCTTGTAGTCTTCAGAGGGTTGGCAACTTGAAAATTCTATTTTTTAAAAATTATTGGCTATCTCAAAGAATTATAAAGGCAAGCTAGTACTAAAAGAACAAAAACTGTGTGCCCATCCCTAGCTTTAGTAATTACTAGCCCGTGGCCAGGAAGGTTGGAATTTTTGATGGTTTGAAATTTCAATACAGGATATCCTAACTAATTTTCATAACAGTCCAAAGTTTGTTTCTCTGATTGGGCCTTGAAGGGTTTTATGTAGCTGTTCTGATGCTCTGGTTAGTTTAGCCCTACCTCCTGGTCCCAAATAATACATTCTTTCTTTCTTTCTTTTTTTTTTTTTTTTTTTTTTGGTGGTACTGGGGTTTGAACTCAGTGCCTCATGTTTGTTAGGCAGGTACTCTACCACTTGAGTCATTCCGCCAGCCTTCCTTCCTTCCTCACTCCCTCCCTGTGGTACTGGGGTTTGAACTCAGGGCCCACACCTTGAGCCCCTCTGCCAGCCCTTTGTGATGGGTTTTTTCAAGATAGGGTCTCCTGAACTATTTGGGCTGGCTTTGAACTGTGATCCTCCTGATCTCTGCCTCCTGAGTAGCTAGGATTACAGGTGTGAGCCACTGGCCCCTGGCTCATTCTTTATTCTTAAGATCATAACAAGCTGTGGACTCAGGACAGGTCTACAGCCCACAGGAAGAAGTGACTGGAATGCTCACCTTCCCTGCTCAGCTTGTGATTGTGCAGTTCAGTGAACGGACAAGCTTTCCAGACACTTCTGGTGGAACATGCACATTTTTCATTTTTTAAAGGAGACCCAAGTGACAGAAGGATTAAGCCTGTTACGATTGAGTGCAGAGGTGGCAGGCTGAAAAGATCACAAACATCTAAGTGGAATGACTTGGGAGGTTCACAAATGTGTGTGCGTGTGTGAGGCACACACCGGATGCACAGGCTGTAGGAGTATCAGAGAAACAGCTCCCTGCCTAAGAGAGGGCAGCGGGGGAGCCAGCATGGTCATGAGGTGGAGAAAAAAGAAAAGGGAGGGTCCACAGTAGGGAGAGGAGAGGCGGGGTAAAGAGGGGAAGTGATAAGAAGGTCTTGGCTCCCAAGGAATCTGATTTGGAACAGCTTGCCTGAGCTCCAGCAGGTCTAGAAGAAAGCACAGATAACAGGAAAGGGACAGGAGCTGCTTCAGAGGCTACTTGTCATTTCTTCCCGTCCTGTGTGGTGTCAGATTTGTACTCTGGATTGTTCTGTTTAAAGCTCTTTCTTGAGGAGATTAAGGCCGTCATTGACTCGCAGAGCTGCCCGAACAGCCCGCCTCTTTGGGCTCCTATCAAAGCCTTCCCCTCTCACGATTCAGGTCTTGCTGAACTGCTTCTAGAAGGCAGGGTTTGCAGGCCTGCTTAACTCCTGGGATCGGACAACTTCTGCCTCAGTCCATCTTTCCATCAGGTTTCCACTTAGCACCTGCGGCCAGCTCGTCCCCCAGTCTATTCAGACAGTAAATGCCTCTAAAAGGCACGTCTGCTTTTTCTAAGTCACCTTGGATGCTAGCTTGAACACTGAACTGCTCCTTACCAACAGTTTTGGAGGCCAGCTCAGGGACTCAAAAGAGCGGCCGTCACCTCCGTGCCCAGCAGTACCCCCACCTTCAACTACACCAAATGGAGAAACCGTGACTCACCATTTTTGCAAAGACAAAACGTTCATGCCACCTCGCTGAAGCTCACATGCAGGCCCAGTGCAGTGACGTTTGAAGGTCATTACCTACGCAGGCCAGACACTTGCCAGCCTCCACATCTGCAGATGGTGTAAGGTTCTGTTTTTTGGTGGGACTGGAGTTTGAACTCAGGACTGCGCTTGCAAATCAGGTGCTCTCTGCTTGAGCCACACCTCCAGTCCATTTTGCTCTGGTTATTTTGGAGATGGGATCTCACAAACTATTTGCCAAGAATGGCCTCAATCCACGATCTTCCCAATCTCAGCCTCCCAAGTAGTTGAGATTATAGGCGTGAACCACCGGTATCCAGCTTGTTTTTTTGTTGTTTTTGTTTTGGTGGTACTAGGGTTCGAACTCAGGGGCTTCACACTTGTTACGCAGGCGCTCTATGACTTGAGCCGCTCTGCCAGCTAATGTTCTTATACGCACAGTTGTATAGGGAAAGAGCATTTGGGGAAGGAGTGGGGCAAGGAGCAAAAGGCTAAAAAACTGCAGAAACAAGTAACCAAACAGGCTGAAGTGCTTGTGATGGAAAGGAAGCAAGTGGAAAGTACAGAAAAGAGGTTGGAATTTTAAGAGCGGATGAATCTACAGCGAACTGGATGTGTAAAACGAACTGGATGTGTAAAACGAACTGGATCCAGAGCGCACTCTCCGCACGGAAACCACAGAGCAGGGGTCTGCGGCCACGGTCCTCGTTCCTTGGCTAAGCTTTCTGCAGGAGCTCCAGCCAAAGGAAAAGTGGCTTGTGTGGAAGTCAGTCACCATGTAGCGTGGGTACAGATACAGGAGGACATGAAACTGGACAGAACGTGCTCTGGAGAAGGGAAGGAAGCTGAAACTAGAGGACAAGTTGGAGACTTCCGAGTCTCAAGTCCTCGCCAATCTCCAAGATGCAAAAATGAAAACTTCAAACTAGGGGACAAACAGCTCAAGTCAACAGCTCAGCGTCTGTGTGACTGTAAGGTGCGCCACGTGTAAAGTGCTTCGTGCGACCCTATTACAAAATCATTTGAGCTTCATGTGTAGTTACTGGGTTCACTCTGCAGAAACCTGAGCTGAGCCCACTGAATTTGCCAGAATCGCAGTTACCTGGTAAGATCACTGCTGCAAAGTTTACTTGAGTCACCAGGCCCACAACTAAGCTGTGGGTCTTAAAATGTACAGAAATGTTTCAGACATTTTAAAAAACAGGCACTAAATACAGGGTCCACGTGGACAGTGATGGCCGTCCACACTGAGAGCACCTCTGTGCAATGTCATTTAATGCCAAGTAGAACAGTAGGTGCTGGTGCTAAGAACATCACTGGCCTCATGAGGCAGATGGAATCCACATCTAGTATTTTAATTTGTTGCCCAGTGTTGGAGATCAGATGCAGGGCCTCACATATGCTAGGCAAGCACTCCACTGAGCCGGACCCCCGGCCCCAGATCACAGTATTTCAAAGAAAGTGTCTCAGGGTCTCCAAGCACTTCTGCTAAAAGGAGATTGAGCCAGCAGCCGGTGGCCCACGCCTGTAATCCTAGCTACTCAGGAGGCAGAGATCAGGAGGATCATAGTTCGAAGCCAACCCAATGCAAATAGTTCCTGAGGCCCTATTTCGAAAATACCCAACACAAAAATAGGGCTGGCAGAATGGCTCAAGTGGTAGAGCTCCTGCCCAGCAAGCGTGAGGCCCTGAGTTCAGGCCCCAATACAGACTCCCTGCCCCCCAAAAGAATAAAAGGAGATTGAAAATTTTGTGTAATATTGTTGGAATAAGAATATATAAAATGTCAGGTGGGCGCCAGTGGCTCACGCCTGTAATCCTAGCTACTCAGGAGGCAGAGATCAGGAGAATCGAGGCTCAAAGCCAGCCAGGGCAAATAGTTTGTGAGACCCTATCTCGATAAAACTCATCACAAAAAAAGGGCTCGTGGAGAGGTCCAAGGTGTAGGCCCTGAGTTCAAACCCCAAACAGCAAAAAGAAAAAAGAAAAAAAAAGTCAGTGCGACTTCCTTAAAAGTGGATTCTGGGGATTTGGGGTACAGCTCAGTGGTATAGCAACTGTAAGGCCCAGAGTTCCATCCCCAGCACTAAGAAAAGGAGGGAATTCTGCTGTACCTTTTTGGCAGGGTGGGGGAAGGGGAGAAGGCACCTCAGAACTTTAAAGTCACACATTAGCAGCAGTAGGCAAACAGAAGCCACCTTCCTCCTGTATACACTTCCTCCTTTTGTACCCGTTCAGGATCTTTCTCTGCTCAAGCATTTTCAAAAGGTTTGAATCTCTGCTCTTCTATTTTGGAGGCAGGGAAGTAACAGCACTAGCTGAACTTCTTTGGTTTCAGCAAAGTTCTGAGCAGCTGAGCTCCCTCCCTGGCCTTCCAGACACAAGGCGTGGCCTGCCCAGTGGCAGCATGCAGTGTGACATTTCAATGTGGTGGCCAAAGAGGAGAGAGGAGAGGGGGCTGCTTGAGAAGCAAACCTCTACACCCTGCAAAGACGGTGAGGCTACTTCCTGTTCTCTGGGGGCACAGCTAGTCTGCAGAAGTCTCTTCATGGAGCTTCAAAGTCCCAATGACAGAGCAGTTCTCAAAGTGTGGCCCAAGGCTCCTCAGGTCAGGCCCCGCCCATGAGGTCAAAACGATTTTCAATATAAGGGGTTACTTGCTTTCTTCTCTGATCCTGTCACAAATACAAGGTAGAATTTCCAAGACACAACCTGTGATAAGACAGAGTGGGAAGCAGACGAGAACCTTGCCAGCTACTATCAAGCCACACACTGAAGAGATCTGCAAATATATAAAATGTCACCACTCTTCTCACTCAAATGTGTCTTTGCTTTGGAAGGCATTTTGCATAGATTACTCATATTAACATGAAATGTGTTATTTTAAAGGATTAGTATTACCATTTCGAGAAAAGTCCTATATAGCCCAGGTTGGTCTCAATCTTGTGACTGTCCTGTCTCAGCCTCGTAAGTGCTGGGATTCATCTCCACAGTTGGCTAGGGATTATTATTTTTAAAAACTTTGGTTTGAGTTCCTAATATGGTATTAGTAGATGGACTCCATAAAATGGGAACTACTCTGTACATTTTTTTCTTTCTGTGCAGAGGATGGAGCCTAGGACGTTTTGCGTGCTAGCTGGGCACGCACACTCTTCCACCGAGCTACGCTCTGGTCCTTACATTTTTTGAAGAGTGTGACAGGGTCCTAAGATTAAGAAGTTTCAGAACTGCCATGGTGTAAGGCTGGGTACAAGCATAAGGTGCATTTTATCAGGTGTTCTGTGTAAGAAGCACCTTACACCAGATAGCTTTCAGACAAGCTTTCTGTTCCTTTTCACACACACCTTTTTTGGGAAAACTGGATGCCAGATTTAACATAAAGATAGCAAAGTAGCCAGGTGTTGTGGGGTAAGCCTATAATCCCAGCACTCAGGGGGCTGAGGCAAGAAAATCTTGAGTTTGAAGTGAGCCTGGGCCCAGAGCAAGACCCTGTCTGAACTCACCGCCTAAAAGAAGACAGCTGGGCAAAACTGACGACACACTCTCCCTCTCCCCTTGTCCTGGTAAATCCCACAGGAGTTTCATTTCAGCCTGGAACTGTCTGTCACTGCACATCACCCCTCCCCAGAAGGGACTTTCAGGGTCAGATGGAGAGGGGTGTGGCCTTCACTGGGAGATACATGCAGCTCCTTCCAAACATGAGCCTTGCACGTCACTGCCCATGACACACCAGGACAGAAAGCTTTCCACAGTACCCACAGGTGACTAGCCATGAAAGCTGTCTCCTCGAAATCTGAATGAAGCTATTTTAAATTGAAATTAAGACTGGTGCTTAGCTAGCCTGGCCTGGGGGTGTGACTTAAGTGGCAGAGCGCCTGCCTAGTACACCTGAGCTAAGAGTTCAAAACCCAGTACCACCAAAACCAAACCAAACCAAAAAACGCTTGCTCAATACCACTGTTTTCACAATTACACAAACCTGAAGGGGCCCAAGATGGCTTGTGAGGTGAATTTCTGAATTCTAGTACACAGTAGAATGGTAATTTCTTCAACTAAAACTTTAGGCAGATTTGTGGAATTCAGAATCTGTGACCCTGCTTGAAACCAATACTGCCTCTCAAAGCCACAGAAGTCTGCTTCATCTGTTGTTACAGGGACAAAATTCACCACACAGCCCAGACTGTCACGGAAAGCTTTTATTACCACAGAGGAAGTCGGGGAGTGCTGGAGACCCTGCACAGCAGCCTCTGAGCATGTGTAAGCAGGGAGGGGCTGCAGGAGGGGACCCTGGTCATCACACTGGTCATCTCCCATGACAGGCTTGCTTGGTTAGGGAGCGGCTTCTGCTGGCTAGGGTTAGGACACTGGGCGGCTCCAGGAGGTCAGCCTTGACAAGCAGGCTTCCTCCTGGACAAGGGACAGCCAGAACCAGGGATAACAGCTGCACAAACACCACCTTAAAATGGAAATCAAATTAGGCTCATACATTGGGAAGTACATTTCAGCCTCACCATAAAACGAGAGCGGGAAGGCGGCACAAGGCTCTACTGGTAGCCTTTCTCTTAGGTAAGATGCTTTTGAAAATAAACGCTGCAGGGCTTTGCCCCTTGCAAACAGCAAGCAGCACACAACCTCCCAGTCAGCTTGTATGACTACTGTTATCTTTGTTATCTATTATTATTTGGATTTTGAACAAAATTGATGGAGTAGGAGCCAGTAGAGGAATCCTGTTTGATCTGGAAATTTTCTGTGGAGAGCCCAAAAGGTCGGAGAACCAAGTTTCCAAGATCCTTTAGTTTACCTGCAACGTAAAAGCAAAACCTCAAATGAATACAGGAACAAAGAGAAGTAGGGAGACACCAAGTGATCTTGCCTTCCAAAACATAAGTGGTATCTCTCTGAAGTTAAAAATGCCTGCTTTAATAAGTGAAAGCTTCTGTGAACACTTCAGCCCCTGCCCCTCTCACAGGGCTGTCCCTTCGGTGCCCTGGCAGGTGGGAGTCCTCTGGTCTCCTCTGCGGAGACCAAAGCCTCCTGTGAGGTGGGCAGAAACTCCCAATGGACACAGGCTTCTGGGATTAGTGCTGCTCCCACTGGGGAGAGGTGGTGGGCCTAACCTGGCCTGCCTGGCAGTGAGGGCAGCACTCCCTCCAACAGGCCGGCTCTCTGTAAGACAGCAGTGGATACTCGCTAAATTTAATTCAACTCAGCAAATTTCTCCTGTGCCTGGATTCAAATTAAAGAGCCTGCTGCTCTTCTCAGCAAACCCTTAGGCTCTGTACCACACCTAGAATTTCTTGGGAAATGAGGTTGATCATTCATACAGTCAATCAACCTCAGTGGCCCTGTGTCCTCTTCCCATCAAGCTTTACTTACTCTTCACTTCATCTCATGCCCTAAAGTCAAAATGAAGACACATGGTGGATAACCCGGGATTCTTTCAAAATTCAAGATTCTTTCAAAATACAAGAGGCCCATGGAGTGTGGATGTCAAGAAGAATTCCCAGGGCATTTCAGAGATTTGTAAGGATCTGGGAACAGAATATTTAAAACTAGGAGTGACGGGTGAACAAAAAATTCCAACCCTTTCTAAACCCTTTTTTTTTTTTGCAGGGTTGGTTCCAACGAGATGAGAATGGGGTCAGACCGGAAGTGACACCTCTAACCTCAGAGGTGCAGGCTCCTTCCCACATTTACTTGTTAGCAGCTTTTGTCACCCTGAACTCCTACAGAGTAAAGCCTAGATAAAGAACTAGGACACGCGGCCTTTACATTTTAAAGGCCTTCCTAATAACTCATGGTGGGCTTTGTTTTGGTGGTACTGTGGTCTGAACTCAGGTCCTCACATTTGCTAGGCAGGCGCTCTACCACTTGAGCTACTCTGCCAGCCCTTTTTTGTGATGAGTTTTTTTTTTTTTGAGATAGGGTCTCACGAACTATTTGCCTGGGGCTGGCTTCAAACTCTGATCCTCCTGATCTCTGCCTCCTGAGTAGCTAGGATTACAGGCATGAGCCAACTGTGTCTGACTAATCTCAGTCTTAAGATGTAGTACACAGAAACATGCCACATTCAGAGAAAAGCTGACCCATTCTTGAGGAAAGCTCCCAGAACCCAGAAAGATCATTCTCCAGCAGACTTCCTAAATACAAACCTGGGTACACATGCTCAGTGCTGCTTTGGGAGAAGCACTGGCTGAGCCTTGGGTGCCTGGGTGGGGATCACAACACCCAAAGACAACCTGAATTGGCAACGGGCCGAGCACTTTGGCCATCTCTCGGGGTTGGAAAGAGAACAGGTAGGAAACACTTAAAGAAACCCAGTAAATGGTACCCGGACAACTGTTGGCTCTTGAGACATGGAGCAAGTGACGTGAGAACTGGCCTCCAGGGAGGGGTAGCTCCAACTTGCAGAAGTTGGTCAGGGGCCCTTTTGTGATGTGTGGCCACAGACTGCTCCCCAGATGGAGAGATTGCCACAAGCCCCCCTTCAGCCTCAGTAAACCAAGACAAAGTGTAAGTGGAGATCTTATGTGCCATCTCCTATGTGAGGCCAGTATCTAAGAGTGAAAGTAGTCCCTGGCTTCTGAGAGGCCCACCGTCCAGTGGGAGACAGGTAAAAGACTGAGGGCGCCCCTGCAGAGCACTGAGAGAGCAGTAGCTCTCCTGAAGGACAATGTTCCACACACTCCAAGGTGCAGTGCCCCCAGGCAGCAATGGCTTCAGAGTTTTCTTGAGTGCAGGAAAACTCTTGACTGTGTTCCAAGCAGAGCACAAGAATTCAAACTGCAGACACAGGGAGGATTTTTTTTTCTCCCAGGTCTTCACTTTGTCCAACTGGGTGTATAAGGACCCTCTAAGCTCAGCTTGGCTGGTTCTGTGGCATGGCAGCCACGGAATGTGCTTCTGCAAATGGAGGGACAGAGTGGTTGCACGCCTAATCCATCCACACATTCAAGCCAAGGTCACCTCTCCCTCAGGCTGCTGAGGCCCAGTAGGGTTGTACCAGGGACTCCTTTGATGGGTACACCTCTAGCTCCCCAGTGACTGCTGAAACTGCGGTGGAAGACTCCCTCCCCCACACGGGTCTGTCAGCGCTGCCAGCCTCCTCCACCCCTGTCCCATTTCCCACACAGGTGTCCCTCTCAGTAAATCTCTGCACTTCTGCTCCTGTCTTGGGCTGTGTTTTCAGAGGGCCCTACTGAACACATGCACTCTTATTCTTCTCCTTCTGTTCCAACATGGCTGCCTTTGTACATTCACGGTCACTTCCAGAACCAAACACGAAGTGGGAAACTCAGCTTGCATACCTGGCAGGTAGCAGATACCTACCAGAGGTACCCACAGAGGAGACCTGAGAAGTCCTGCCGTGAATTAATTCACCTAACACATGCTCAGTGCATGTATGTGCTCCTTGCTGTGGGTGGTGGGGATGCAAAGATATTCGTGACACTGTCTACACAGCAAAGCAAACAGAACCTGATGGGGAAGACACAGCACATGCAGAAGCAAGTCCACATGTCACTGAGCTGCTAATGGCTATGAGACGCATTTAGAGGAAGATGTCACCCAGCTTATGTGGGAAGCAGAGGAGGACAGGAATCTTGTCCCACCTTTATGGGAGCTGGACTTGAACTGAGAAGTTTCTGGTGTCTCAACTGTTTGTGATGATGGCAGAGAAGCAGCAGCCTTCAGTGGCGATTATACTCTTAAACAGTCATACACCTGCGCTGCAGTCAGGGTAGTTGCTCAGAGACTAAAGCACTCTCCTTGTGCTCCAAATAGGATCCTTTGCAGAAGCGCTGTCATACCTTTGCCTCCCCTAGGACAGTAATCAGTTAGGGTCCTTGTTTCCATGTGTGTCAATCTTGCACTTTCATTCAGCCTGAACATGTCAGCATGTCCCTAGCTGTTAGGATTGTGCCTACTGGGCTAGATCTCATGGCAGAGAAAAGTCCAAGTCCGCTCACATTCAGGCAAGACTGTTCGAGACTAGAGGTCAGTGCTTGCCCTGGATCCCCTTCTCATCAGTACCACAATAATCCAACTGACCCATTATGCCTAGTTTCTCTGTGTTGTGCACAAAGCAGTTCACCAGGATCACCAACACCATTTGTTTTCATCTTCTTTAAGATCACTGGGGTTCCCCAGTACTCACCCCCCCTCCCCGCCAAAAAAGTCTCTGGGGTTTGGGTACAGTGAGATAGCTCCTTTGTTGCTTTCTCTTCTGTTTAGGAAAAAAAAAAAAATCACCTAAAATTGAATCATAAGTCTGCATTTTCTCTTAGGAGACAGGAAGGCAGCTATGCAGCTACTCTTGCTTTTCCTCTGAACGAAAGGGAAATCAAGAGAAGGCATAGCACAGAGGAGAAAAACCACTCAATTCAAGTGCTGTTACTAGCTCTAGGGTGGAAGTTGAGATTCACATAGCCTTGGAGGTATCATCCATCAAAGAAACAGGAACTCTCCCTTCTTTTGGCAGTATTGTCGTTTCAACTGAGGGTCCTGCATTTGCTAGGTGCAAGTGGTAGGCAGGCACTTGAGCCACTCTGCCAGCCCTTTTTGTGCCAGTTATTTTTGAGACAGGGACTCACTTTATGTGCGGGCCAGCCTGGACCTTGATCCTGCTATCTGTGCTTCCGTGCATAATTGGGATGACAGGTGGCTCACTGCTTGAGCCATTGGTTGAGTTGGGATCTTGTGGACTTTTGCTCAGGCCAGCCTTCAACCATGATTCACCCAATCTCTGTGTCCCAAATAGGTGGGATTACAGGCGTAAGCAACAGCACTCAGCAGGAGGTACTCTCTTGAAAAGAGAAATCTATGGAGTAGCAACTAGGAAATGAGGAAAAAACCCCAAGAAAACAAACAAACAAAAAAAACCAGGGCACTGGAAATCTGGTATTTCCTACCGTGGGAACAAAGGCAGTGACAACAATTCTTTTAGAGACTCACACGGCCAGAGTACAAAGTATTCAAGCATACAGTCTGTAACGAGGACCACAGGCAAGGCAGCTTGAAGAGAAATCTGGAAAAATGAAAGGCTGAGTCTCTCTCCACACACATGGCTTCAGCAATGTTAAGAGGGAAATGCTAACCAGTTATCTTTAGATCCTCGGCGAGGGAGCTGATTGGAGGACCCCTAAGTGCAGAGCAGAGAAGCTTACAAGGCACTGCTGTAACCAGAAGAATGTGTTGAATACTTATAATGACTATGGATGAGTTATTTCAATCTCAATGTGCAGTGCTTAAGTGTGGCACTCATACAAGATGGCATTTTCCTTTTCTTTTCTGAGGTGCTGAGGATGAAACTCCAGGGCCTCAAGTATGCTAGGTAAACACCCTGTCCCTGAGTTACCTCCCCACCCCCAAGATGAATTCCTAATTCGGTTCATGAACGTGCCTGCAATAGGTTGTTAGTGGCCAGGACTGCACAAATGAGAACTCCAGGAATCAGAAGACCAGAAGCACGATTCAAGGTGGGAGGTGGTGACGGCACAAGTGGAAATCTGAGCTAGAGTGTGAACAATCATGTGTGTGTCACACTGGCGTCACACACTGGCAGCCACAGAAAGCAGCAGCAGTTGTCGTGAAAGGAAGGTGGGATTACTGGGGCAAGTGGTTTTCTTAGGGGAAGAAATGAGTTTTATGTAGCTGCTCCAGGTCTTTAAAAGTGGGGACACACACCTGGCAGCTCTTGGCTAAGACAAGAAGAAGGCTGAGGATATAGCTCAGTGGTAGAGAGCTTGTCAAACATGTGTGAGACCCTGCTAGACACCCCCCCACCAAAAAAAAAAGAAAAAAAAAAACAAGAAAAAGATGAAAAGGCAAGAAGAGCAGCATCTCACTGGACAGCAGGCATACAAGCCTCCATGCTATCAAGACATCCCCTGCACACTCAGAGCACAGTGGTCATCTGCACTGAGCTGGCTCTATTCCTCCAGCTGCACCTTGTCCAAATACACACAGAAAAGCCACTTGGCAGGAGTGGCTTCATGTAGAGAGCTGTCTGAGGTGGGAAGTCAGGTGAAGTAGAAGAGCACACTGTGAAATGTCTGCTTTCTGGTTTTTGTTAGCTGCAGCAACTGCACAAAGGGAAGATGAACTTAGTAACTGACCTGCTTCTGCTCAGTGGGGTCTCTGAGCCTGGTGGAATCCCCTCCTGGCCTCATGCTGGTACAGCCACACCCTACTCTGGCCTTTCAACCCACCTCCACACCTTGCACCATTACTTGGCAGTCACATTCCCAAATCAAATGGTCTGTTAACCTTGATGCCTTAGAATGTGTGAGGGCTGTCAAAAGTTAGATTGCTGGGTCCCACCCCTAACTTCTGACTCAGTAACCAACTGTGCATTTTTTTTTTTTTTTAAAACCAGTTCTCAGGTAAGGATGCTGTCTGGGTACCATATTTTGAAAAGGCGAAAGATTTATACGATTTGAAGAGAAACCAGAGTATGGGTACCATATTTTGAGAATCAGCCCCAAAAGATAACTTGTTTTTGCATCTGGTGTCTGGAATCTTTTTTTTTTTTGGTGGTGGTACTGGGGTTTAAGCTCAGGGAATTGGGCTCTACTACTTGAGCCACACCCCCAGCTAGAGACTGGAATCTTGATGAGAATCCTGATATTTTAAAAAAAAACAGCAGGGTGCCAGGGGGTCATGCCTTTAATCCTAGCTACTTGGAAGGCTAACATCAGAAGGATCACAGTTTGAGACCAGCCTGGGCAAACAGTTGGAGAGGCCCCATCTCCTAAACAAATTCATAGCAAAATGACTTGGAGGTCTGGCTCAAGTGGCAGAGGGCCTGCTTTGTGAAGCCCTGAGTTTAAACCCTAGTCCCACTGCCTTCCCCAAAACCAAAAAAACCCACCAAAAAAACCTGAACTGTGAACTGTAAACACCTATCTCTAGTGTTAGATCTGAGATGACAGATGAAGAACCACCAACACGTACAAGGAGAGTTTTCACAATTCCACTTGGAAGATTCGTTGGCTGGCCAGTATACAGGATAAAACAATTTGCTAATATTGACGGCCACTGTCTCTACTCCACACTCCTTATATTTGTAATCAAAGCTTGTCCAGAGATGTATGTTAGCATCATCGCCTTGCCCTCTCAGTGTAGCTGCCAAGAATGGCTGTGTCATCAGCCCCTGCGAACAGAAGGGCAGTAGCGCTAGAAATCTGTCCTTGGCATCCTACAGCTGAGCTGATAGGATTCTCAACTGTCTGATCACCTACTATTTATGTATCTATGTAAGTAAAAATTTTAATATTGTAAATTAAAATTTATAATACAAGAAATTATAGATAGATATGTGAATGGAGTCTTTATTTCTGGAATTTTCCATTTAATATTTTGGACCTGGGTAATTGAAACTGAAGAAAGCAAAACCTTGGATAATAGAGAATCACTGTACATTTGAATTTATAAACTCATACAAATAGAACGCCACTTTTTCCTATATTGAGGTTTCATACAAGATTTTTTTTGTTTTAAAAAGGAGGAAGACGTGGGGGTGTAGTTCAGTGATAGATGTTTGCCTAGCAAGTGTGAAGTGCTGGGTTCTATCCCTAGCACTGCCAAAAAACATCAGAGAAATGAGGTTCTACTGTTTAAAAATAATATGATAGCTCATGGAGTAGAGCGCCTGCTTAGCCAGCACAAGGTCCCAAGTTCAAGCCCCAGTACTGCCAAAAAGAGGAAACCAGAACAAAAACTCAGGTCATTCTCATTCTCTCTCTAGAGGTGACCCATTTTCAGTCTACTGGAAGTATATTCCTCTCTTCCCAATAAACCTTACTATCACTTTCACTACAAAAACTAAACCAATGTGAGCTGGGCATGGCAGTGCACACCTGTAATCCTAGCACATGGGAGGCTGAAGCAGGAGGATGGCAAATTTGATGCCACCCTGGGCTACATAGCATTAACCTGTGCCCGTCTATCTGTCCCCCCCACCAAAAAAAAAAAAAAAAAAAAAAAAAAAAAGAAAAAACAAACTAAAATGGAAAAAAAAATAAACCAAAAACACCACAACAAAACCTACCAATGTATAAGTCACTAGAATTCAGCAACAGTGAGTAACTGGGCATCAATCACCAGTAACACCAGCCTCCTGGGCGTCTGTTCCCAGCCATCACACCACTGGCCATCACCTTTCAAACCTAATATTCCTTGGTGAGTAAGGCTGCAAGACAATCATCCCAGAAGAAAGATGGGTAAAAGCAAACACTTGGGCTGCTGCCCTCTGCTCAAAGCTCCTCCTGAAGCTATCATCACCATCTCTGATTTTCAAGGACAGTGCCACCAGATAACAGCTTCTCCTGCTTTGGAGATGACATTTTCAAATGACAGACTAGGCAGGGGCAAACAAATATAATTCTATTCATTAAAAAATCCAATTGGAGTACTGGAAGTGTGGCTCAAGCGATAAAGTGCCTGTTTTGCAAGCCCCGAATTCAAACCCCAGTTCCATCAAAAGAAAAAAAGAGTCAAATGAATCCACTTGCCCTACCTCATCCCCAGCCTTTCCCCCCTCATTATTTCCTCCATGTTCCTGTCCTCTCATGTCTTCTCAAACACTCAAGGGATTCTCAGCATCATTTTCAAGGCAAATATTCCCTTGATGCTGACATTACTGGTGGTAATGACTATATCCTAAAAGAACTGAAACTTTAAGGGGTGACTACTTGATGAAGAAACTCAATTGTTTTTAAGAAATTATAACTGGAAACAGAGATTGGTGGCATTTCAGGTTGGGTAATGAATTCCATTTCATTCTTGATGGCAAGAAAAATTTCCAAGAAAACCAAAATGGAAATTTGGTTTCTGAAGAAGTTGCTGTTTCTGGAGTAAAAACGGTTAAGAAGTCATCAGCCCCTGGTGTTGCTGCCTACTGCAGAGCAAGGGTCTCAAAGCTTCTGTTGACTGATGTTTTCTCTAGGGAATAAAAATACTGAGGCCCAGCCCTGCCGCCAGCTTCCTAGCTGTTTGTTGTCAGGAGAATTAAAGTGAGGGAGGCAAACTTACCTAACATTTCTTCTTTTAGTCTTTCATTGCGCTCTTCAATCTGCTTAGGTAATCTCTGAGGGAAAAGGAGAAACAAGTTGGTAAAAAATCTTTTGCCTTTATTTTGAAAGTAGGAAACATTTAAAAGCCTTATGTAGAAATTAGATCAAATTAAGAAGTTACAATGTGATCCATCAAATAAAGAAAGAAAGCAAGCATTCATGTTTGTGAGTGTCTGTTTTGGTCACTGTTACATTCTTTGATCCTAACAGAGTGCCTACACTAAAGGAAACTTCAACCAAAATCTGGTGAATGAGTGCATGCAGAAGAGTTTGAGAGGATGTGCAGCGAAGGCTGAGAGCGGCATGTTTAAGGGATAGGTTTAGGGTGATATTCATATTTCTCATTTGTATCTTCTGACTTTAAGTTCTTTCCTTGCCCACTGTAATTTGCAAGTCGTCACCTAGCTTGGGCTGCTCGCTCTCGGCACTGACATTTTGAGGACAATTCCTCATAGTGAGGGGCAGCAACCCTGGCTCCTACCCTTCTGGCCTGCAGCACTCTCCTCATCATGACACTGAAACGCCTGCAGACAATGCCAAGTGACCCTGGGAACTGAAGTCATCCTGCTTGAGGACCTCTGATCTAAATGAGAGTCTCTACTGGCCACTTTTACTCTGTAACTGGTCCCAAGCATTCTGGGATTTCAGTAAATACTCATTCATAGAAATTGAACAAAATAAATTATTTCTACATTAAAACTAACTCGGCAAGGAAAAGTGCCACCAAGAATTTAGCTTAAATGTTACATTTAAGTTAACCTCATCGCCATTCAGAGACAGTTAAAAAGTCTGATAAAGTTAGACTGAAATAGTTACAAACTGCTTATATATTTTAATTATCTGAACCAGCTTATCTCCCACTACTTCTTTTCTATATAAATAAAATATTTATTATGCAAAGAATTTACCTCAAGTGTGAAAAAAAATCACCTCAGACATCAATGCAGGGAGGTAAGTTAACATCTCCAAGGATTACTCTGTGGAAATAAGGGAAACCCTGTACAGCAGGGTTCAAATGCCCTGAGGGGCCAGGAAGAAATCTAGATGAACAAGGAGGTGGTACAGGGCATTAGGGAAAAAGTGGTGGGGAGCTGGAGAGCTCCCGCTGAGAGCAAGCATGCAGGAGTTAAGAATGTCTGCAGCTCCCAGTTTTCAACAGGAGTCAGACCTATGTTTTTAGACAGTAAATTCTTCCCAACTGTAAGCATTGGCAAGTAGCCTCGATTCTAAGAATTTGGTTTAAATAAAATGTATCTTAGCCTTCCCTTCCCTGCCTGCTAGTCTGCAACTTCCCGCTGTATCCTGGGGATTCAAGATCCAGCATAATAGCTCTCTGAAGTCTGGCAGAGAAAATAGTTTAAAGCCAGCATTTCTCACTTAACTGAAACATCTATTTTTTTGATTATAATGCATAATAAATACCCAACTCTACAGAACATACTTTAGAGTATATGTTGCTCTATGAATTAGAGATAATCAGTGTTGACAAAAACAAAAATCAGGGCTGAGAGGCATGGCTCACATAGTAGGGTGCATGACTAGCAAGCTCATGGCCCTGAGTTCAAACCCCAGTACCACCAAAAAAACCCCTAAGAAACCAGAAAAACAAAACAGTGGTGGCGGTGGAGGAGAGAATCAATATATTTAGCTAATTTAAAATTCAGATAAAATAGTTATGCGGTTTAGAAACAGAGGATTGTCAGTGCCAAGGACAAGAATAGCTGCCATTTTGAGAATGAAAAGGAGGTTAGTTTAGGGTCTATTCAATTGGAAATGGAATGACAGAATGGAGACTCAGCATGTACTGAATAAGGAAAAAGATGGATAGAAAAGCCACAAGTCTAAGGGCTTGGGGGGCCGTGGCTCATGTAGTAGAATGCCTGCTTAGCAAGAGCAAGGCTCCGAGTTTAAACTCCGGTACTGTCCAAAAAAGGAAAACCACAAGTTTGTCACCTGTCATAATAAGGGTCACTTTGAACTAACCTATAAAATTAGGGTGGACGAGAGTTCCCTAGTGCAACAATGAAATGCATTTTTGGTCAACTCCTATCACTTTTAGAATAGAGATTAAATGACGCACGGTCACACTGGGTATGAGACCACCACTTCAAAGCTCTATCTCCCATATATTTTGATAGGTATAGAAATGAAATTTAGTTGTGTCCCAAAGCATTATTTCAAACAAAAAGAATAGAAGAAAAATAATTTTAAAACTTTAGGTTTTGGCTAGGTAGAGTGACACGTGCCTGTAATCCCACCTATACAAGAGACAGAGGTGGAAGGAGGGTCACAATATAAGACTAGTTCTGGGCGAAAGTACAAGACTCTATCTGAAAATTAACTAAAAGCGAAAAGGGCTGAGGGGCATGGCTCAAGGGACAGAGCACTTGCTTAGCAAGCCTGAGGTCTGGAGTTCAATTCCCCAGTACTTGGGAAAAAATAAAAAAGGTAATCAAGGTAAAATGAGTCCTATGGGTGGGCCCTCATCCCACGTGACTGGTACCTTGGTGTGAAGCAATTAAGACACACACATACACATACACACACAGAGGGACAGCCAGATGAACAAAAAAGTTAGGTTTTACCATACAAGCTTCTCTTGCTTGATATACTGATGGATCTTTTTCTAATATAGATTTATAATCTTCCAGGGCTTCGTCTAGTTTGTCTGTTTTCTCATACAACTCTGCTCTTCTCAATATTGCCCTGATGTAGCTGGGGTTTAACTGAATTGCTGTAAAAAGAGAAGAAATAACTGTTATCACAAAGAAAAAGGGCCATGTATCTTTGGCTATATCCAGTTCACTAGCCACCGTCCAAGGATGTGAAACAGAGAGTCACTTGTCAAAGTCAGTACACAGGTGGGCAAACTTTCCTTAAAGAACAAGATGCTAAAGATTTTGGGCTTTCTGGGCCAGACAGATCCCCTCTGACCCAACGACTCAAGCATGCCACTATACCATGAAGAAGGAGCAGGCGAGGTGTAAACAAGTGCAGGTGCTGAGATCCATTTTATGTAAGTTTCATGTATCATGAAATATTTTTCTTTGACTTAATTTCCAAACATTTAAAAATATAAAAATCATTCTTAGATTGTGGTCTGTATAAAAACACATGACAGGCTAGATCTGGCTTATGGCTTTAGTTTGCTGAACCTTGATCTACACTCCAACTCCTGGTATTTGCTCACTTGTCCTTCACCCAGTCCAGGAGGGTCGGAACACAGAGTGAGTGCAGGACAAATGACTGAGAGATCTGAAGGGGAACTGAAAGAAAAAGTCTGGTGACAGACTCTCCTTTTTTTTTCTAGGCTCAACGACTGAGGTTACATATCCAGCTAAATCTCCACTGCTCCAATACCTTTAAGGTCACTGGTGCACAATACCTTTTCCTTGGGCTGCAGGTGTAGCTCAGAGGTAGAGCACTTGCCTAGCACCTACAAGGCCTTGGGTTCAATCCCTAGCATAGCAAAAAACCAAAACAAAGGAAAACTTTTCCTTTATTCACCATTGTCTTAATAATCTATTGCTGTGTTTTGGTTCAAGTATGCTGCATTTCTCCCACTCCTTTCTGAATTGTTTCTTTTTCTGTTAGAAAGTAATGTCCTGTCTCTAAATTTTTCTTCTCTTCACATTATATTCCTCTATTTTTCATTCATTCACATTTCCAGAACACATTTATTTAGCATCTAATCTATATATCTAATTGTATATTTCAGGGCTGGAGCTGTCACAGTAAACAAGAGAAAGCCCCTGTCTCATGAAGCTTTCTGCTATTCCAGTAAAGAGAGAGAAGGCAGCTGTGCAGGTAAATGACTCATAGTCAGTGCTATAGTTAAAGACAAACAAGGTAATGCAAATGTAAGTGAAGAGCCAACTTCAGAGTAGTCAGAAAACCACTCTGAAGGGGTATGTGAAGGGGTAGGTTGATGGAGGCCCATCACCTGAAAGGGTAGGAGGAGTGTATCAGGCAGAAGGACCAACGGGAGCAAAGGCGCTAAGGCAAGGATAACCTTGGTATGTTGAGGCCAGCATGGGGGCTGAAGAGATAAGATGAAGACACACAGGACAGGCAAGGACAGCAAGCACATGGAGAGCTTTCTGGAGCAGGGTAGGGAGTCGGGACTTTCTCCTACAAGTGATGAGCAGTCACTGGAAGGGTTTCAATCACCATAATGTGATTTATATTTTTAAAGGAACTGCTCTGGCTGTAGAGTGGGAGGCAAGATGGATGGCGGTTACTGCTGTGGTTGGAATGAGACATGTGTGGCTTGGTTTAAGTTGGTGAGAGTGGAGCTCAAAAGAGGCAGTCAGATTAAGTATATGTTTTTAATTTGATAATGAGACACACGGAATGAAAGAAAGATTACAATCAGGGATGACTGCAAAGGCTTTAGCTTACATGAGTGAATGGATGGCAGTGGCAGTTATTAGAATGGAAAAGTGACTCCAAGTCTTGGGGTGAGTGGCACCGGGCATTAAGTCAGAAATGCCAAGAGTCGACGACTTTGCAAGGGGATTCAGAACTGTATACCATGGAGAAGAGGTCAGAATTGAAGACATAAACTGTAGCATGTAGTACTTACAAGTTTTATACCTTTTAAGCTATTAATTTGGTTATCTTTATTAATACATTCCTTTTCTTTCCTTTGATTTATGTTGTTGCTTTAATTTGAGTTCAATAATCAATTCATATATTTTAATCATTTTAAATTTATTTTAAAATTAACAAATCAAAATTGTATATATTTATGGTACACATCATGATGTTTTGAAATATACATTGTGTAATGGCTATACTGAGCTAATTCCTAACTGGATAAGATCACACAGGAAGAAAATATAGAATCAAAAATAGAAGGCCTCCTGCTGGACTAAGATCTAGGAACTTTCAAAATGGTGAAGATATCAAACAAGCAGGCAGACAAGAAGAACAGCTAAAAAAGCAAGGGAAAGAGAGCATGGTGTCACTGAATTAAAGAGAAAACACTTGAGGGCCGAGACAGGGTCTTGGGGTTGCAGCCCAAGCTGGCCTTGAACTTGAAATCTTCCTGCCTCAGCTCTCAAATGCTGCAATTACAGGAGAAAAAAATTGTAAAGGAGGAAGCAATGATGAACTGTATTAAAGGCTTCTGGAAGATGCTGGAAGGTCCTCGCTTTCTGGCATAAACAATCGATCACTGAATCCAGCAAGATTAAACTGTTGATGACCTTTACAAGATTCTGCATGGAAGAATCCTAGGCCTAAAGGAAATGGGGTGAGGAGAGAATGGGAGGCAAAGTGGAGACAGTAGGACAGTCTGTTTTTCCAATGAAGATGATCAGAGAAATGCTACAGCAGGTGGAAGGGTTCAAGACAAGATTTTCAGAAAGGACCCAAATCTTTTAGCATTGCAACTTTATAGGCTGTCTGCCAACCTCCTCTTAATCTGGCACATCACAACTTCTTATAATATACCTAGTTCACAGGAAAGACTCTGCAATGACCTCTACTACATCTTTAAAAAAAAAAAAATTAATGCCCTAATTTACATTTCAGGCCAAATATTGCAACCTCCTCTACAACTAGGGGAAGACTTAGTTATGTGGAAGAAGGGAGAGTTTTCCCACGGTTCTTTGTACATGTTGATTTCTTATTTATTTGCTTATCGTGGTTATGAGGGTTTAAACTCAGGGCCTTGAGCTTGCTAGGCAGGTACTCTACCACTTGAGCCATGCCTCTAGCCCCCATGATTACTTTATAAAATCCCACACAAAGAGAGTGAATTTAGTCGGGCACCAGTGGTTCATACCTGTAATACTAGTTAATTGAGAGGCTGAAATTGGGAGGATAGGGTCCAAGGCTGTCTCATGAGACCCCATCTGCAAAATAACCAGAGTGAAACAGACTGGAGGTGTGGCTCCAGTGGCAGAGCACTGGCTTTGCAAGTGCTAAGCCCTGAGTTCAAACCCTAGTCCTACCAAGAAAAAGAACAGTGAACATAAGCCCCCAGGTGAGTCCTTTAGGTATTGTTTCACATGGCTAGTAGAAAGGAGCTCCAGTGACCTCAGAAGTAAGCTGCTATACTTTGCTAAGGTGTATGAATTCACAGTGGGCATGTATATACTGAGATACTTTGCCTGTAGGTACAATGCAGATATCCACAATGGCTATGCCTAGGTGCATGAGTAACAGTTTAAGAAAATCCCAAAGAAATCTGGAAAACACTTACTTCCCCGCTTCCTCTCAGTTTCTTGGCAAGACTCCTACGCTGAGGGATATAGCAGGAAAAATTAACTGTTCCTTACTGTGTACTCTGCTAGTCAAGCTTTTAAAGCATTTTCTCACCGTTTGGTCACAGCTTTGAAAGGAGCTCCAAAAGTCAGCAGTTGTTCCTAACTGACACTTCAAATCCACACGTCTCACACAGAGGAAATAGGTTAAATTTCTTCTTTCAAGCAAACTAGACAGCAAGAATTAGTTCTATTTCAAGAAGATAACAGAGCAGAAGTAGTTTGCTAAACTGTAATGCAGTGACAGTTTCATTTAGAAACTAAAAAGAAACACCAAGAATAGAGGGAGTGAGAGTGCCAACTTAATTACCATCAAAATAAAAACAAAGAGGGGCATGTGCTTAGTCTGAAAGGGGAGCTAGATAGCACATAGGTTCTTTCCAATTCTATGATGTTTTAGAAGTGTAGTGTGAAGAAAAATTGAAAAAAAAAAAAACATTAATTAGCTACAAAAACTGCTGAGACTAAGAAGATGCAAGGAGAAGTGGTTATGTGTGTTCTACACATGAGTTGGTTAGAAAGGCAAGACAAGGTAGCCTATCAGGAAATTCAAAAGAAAAAAACAAAACAGTGATCCTATTTATGGGCATGTGGGAGACTTAGGTGTCACACTGCCCAGGCCTGACTCACCGTACAGGCTGACGGGTAGTTCACAAGATGGGAACTCTGGAAGGATGATTACCTCTGGAGATTGTCACCTCACCAACAGAAACTGTCCCTCCCCACGACTGCGTCCCTTCCCCAAAAACCCAGATAAAATGCCCTAATAGTATCTAGGGTTTTCAAAGGAAAAGGGATTTGGAGACTATGGGAAACAAATTCTGTTCCATGTGAGTTCGTGAGTTTGCCTGCCAAGGAGGCTTTGACTTTTTGTCCACGTACTAGCTCAACTATGCACTGGAAAGCACACTCAGTCTAAATCATCTCTGAAAATGCTCGATCACAGAGCTTCTCTAAGAGCCCCAGAGGAAGGGCACACACATACAAGTGCACACCTAACCAACAGCCCCGGCACCGCCTAAACTAGAAGACAAAAGAAACTGTACCTCTGCTGCAGTCACCAATGGCCATCTCCTTCTTGTCCTAAAAGGAAGCACAACATCAATGTATTTTATCTCAGTGGCTTGAGGATCTGTTTGACATGATTTGATCATTAGTAACTATTTGTGGAGATACAGAATGCTTTTCAAGGTAATCACATGAAAATACACATCACTTTCAAGAACTGAAAATTAATGTGGAGATGACTCTGACCTGAAAGGCTTCTGGTAGCAAATGATCAAGTAACTTCTTCCCTAAATTGTTTTACTTGACCTGTTACATTTGTAAGATATATTATATAAAAATGCTGACACTGAGAAAACATTGTGATCAATAAACTGGACAGTGACTGACATATGGCATTCCCTCCTCTTTGGCTAGTTGCTATATTACCATGCTTAAGGTACTTCCAGAAAGTACACAGATGGTCACTCCACAGACACACAGTGTGGCTTGTCATGTAGTCAGTTGTAAACCTTAGTTACCTAATGATGAAACAAGAACACAAACAACTTATCAAATAAGGTATGCACCTAATTTCACTTGCTGAATCTAGGGGCATGGCATAGTTGAAGTCTGGCTGTCAGAAGCTCTGGCTTGTGTCGCAGCTCTGGCGCTGACCGGCTGCTTAACACTGACCATGCTAACTTCACTTCTCTAGTGTTTGGGCTCTCAGCTACAACGTGAGTGGGCTAGGCTAATGTTCCGTGACACACACTCTGCTAAAAACGTCTATTTTTCCTAAATTACAAGTTTTCTACAATGTTACAGAAATAAGCTGGTTCAAATACATGTTTTATTGTGGTAGTAAATGCTGAGTTCAAACCCTGGTACTGCCAGAAACAACCAGAACAATTCTAGGATGGTGAGTGCCTGCTTATTAAGCATGAGGTATCCTTTTAGGGCATGGAAAAGTTTTGGAACTAGAATAGCTGAAGTACTAAAGTTTTGTTTTTGTTTTTGGTGGTACTGGGGTTTGAATTCAGGGCCTCACACTTGCTATACTATACTTGAGCCACTGCACCAGCCCATTTTTATGTTGGGTATTTTTGAGATAGGATCTCGTGAACTATTTGCCTGGGGTTGGATTTGAACCGAGATCCTCCTGATCTCCTTCCTGAGCAGCTAGGATTACAGGTTTAAGCCACCAGCGCCCAGCTGGTTGAAATATTCAATGCCACTGAATTATGTTCCTTAAAACAGTTACTATGATCAATTTTATATTATGCATATTTTACCACAGTAAACAAACCCCAAAAAGGTTCTAGGGTCATCTGGGAAACACTAGTTCTCTACCAATATTCATATATCAAAAGTTCTAAATTTCATCTTAGCTAAAAGACTGAGAAGTGATACATTAAAAGTTCTAAGAAGTCCTATACTAAAGAAATCTGGCCAGGTGTGGTGGCTCATGCCTGTAATCCCATATGCTTGGGAGGGGACTACAGTTCCAGACCAGCTTGGGGGTGTGTGTGTGTGTGCGTGCGTGCGTGTGTGTCTGTGTATGTGTGTATGCCCTGCGCAAAAGGCCCTGAGTTCAACACCCCACCCCCTCAACAAACAATAACAACAACAAAAACCTGTGTAACTTTATGTAAGTATTTCTCCAAACTGTCAGATTTCCATAAACTGAAGACATACAATTTCACACTTATTGACACAGGAATAAGCCTTTTGAACCTTTGTGTATCCCATTGTGGTGGCCTGCTTTTGGCCACAGAGCTGTTTTTAAGTTGCAGGAATTAGGCATTTTCCTGCAGCTCCCTCTGAGGATCAGAATGTACTAACATCTCAGGGGACCTAAGTCTGTCTGCTGCTCAGAGTGGCAGTCCTACAAAGTGCATGTGTGAAAGAAATCCAAACTTATTTTGCACTATTTGTCTATAAAATGTATGTAGTGCACAAGGACAGACAAATGTGCTACATACGCCAAGCAATGCCCAGGATCTCTAAGTTGTTTTTAAGAAGTTAAAGCCCATTTTACATTTTTTCAACAGCATATTCTTTCTGCACTGGTGTGGCTAGCTAGATCTAGAGCTGACACTCTGACCTAACTCCGGTCTGCGTTTTCCCTCCTCAGATATGAAGTGTGGAGGTTGGCAAAGTCAGATGCTGAACCTACAAACCTGCCTTTCAGAAATTCTCTATAACTTCTTAAAGCAGTTAACTGACCACTTCTTTGAAAACTTTGCAATACAATCCTTCAATTGCATCAGAGTACTAATCCTGAAAGCTTTCAAGTCTCTAATTTTAAAGTCTTCTTCAAGTATTAAGCATGCAACTTAGGAAGAATGAAACAAAGCAAACAGCACTGACGAGGTTATCCTCTGTACAGGAGACAGGGCAATGCTCTTTTGAGTTCTCCTCAGATGCACAGACAGAAAGACCAACAAGACTAAACATTTTCCTAACTCAAGAACTGGTCTACTACGCTAGCCCAAACCTAAAAATATACCGAGGCAATCGTAGAAATTAAGTACCCCAAATTCCACAAGCCAAATGGGTATTATGTACGTCCTCCGAGACTGAACCATTTCACAACGACAGTGCCCAGTTAGGAAACGTGGTAAGATGCAGAAGCAAATGCTTCAGAATTTTCTTACGAATAAAACGGCTAGATGTGGATCTAATCACCGAGAAGATCACTAATAAATTTTGTTGTTATCGTTTGTTTTTAGATTTCTGAGACAAGGAGTCATTGTGTAGCCCAGGCTGGCTTCTAACTCATAATCTTACCTCTGCCTTCTCAGTGCTGGGATTACAAGCGTGTGCCACGACTCCCAGCCCCCATTAATACTGCTTTAAGTAAACTAAGCTTAAATTGTTTTATTTTCCAAATACAAAATGTTTGCTTTATATCTGTAAAATTGTTTCTTTACCCATACTACATGAAACATTCCCACAGTACTTCACCTTGGAGACCAAATCCAAATCAACAATATACAAATTGCAGAGGTTTTTCTTAAACAAAACAAAACAAAACAAAAAAGCCTTTCTGCACATTCAAGCATTCAAGCACAAACCCTTGGGGCCTTTAGATGCAAGAAGCCTGATCACCCACACTGACTTTGGTAGAAGCACTAGTGAACTTCACACAGCATCAAAGACAGAGTGACAGTAGAAAAGTGATCTGAACAAACCAAGGAAAAACCGCTTCACCTAATCTTTGTCCAGCTCATGGTTGAATGGATGCTAAGTAACCAGCCATTGCACTTTGGATGGAAGTAGCCATAGCTAAGACGAGCAGTGCTGCTTCTTTTCTTAAATTTCACCATTTCAATCTAGCCACACTATGCTGACTAACGACGAAAATCAGGTAAGTTAGCAGCACTAGTACTGACATGACATAAAATAAATGTATTTGCACTCCCACCTCCTCCACACTCACCCTTTTAAACCAGGTTCCCAACCCCTCAGAAGTACAGGTGTTCCCTGACGCCTATGTTGCAATTATGGACACCTTTCATTCCAACTGTTGGACACTTCTCCCAGTGTTCATACTTTCCACAGAAAAATCAGTCTTAGCAAATAAGCATCCCTAAGCCCAGAGTGTTAAGCAGTGCTCCCTATGCCAGAGGCTGGCAGGAGCAACTGTGCTAGGACACCAGCACTTAGCTTCCTCTTCACTGACCTACCCTCATTTACAGGGTAGCTTCCTTCCAAGTATTCACTCAGCTACTTTTTATTTTTATTTTGGAGGGATTAGGGTTTGAATGTAGGGCTTTGCACTTGCAAAGCAGGTGCTTTACCACTTGAGCCACACCTGAAGTCCATTTTGCCCTGGTTATTTTGGAGATGGGGTCTTGAAAACTATTTGCTTGCGTTGGCCTTGAACTGCAGTCCTCCTGATCTCAGCCTCCCAAGTAGCTAGGATTCACAGATGTGAGCCACTGGCGCCTGGCCAACATAAACCTATTCTATATTCTTCCAGAAGGAAAGGATTTGCTATTAAATTTAAAACAATCCCTCTGCTACTTTAATGAGGAATGTTAAAACTTGAGGTAGTCCAACTCAAGTTTTTCTGGCCTTTCTATGCCCTTTTTATCAGGGAAATTTACAGGTAGGAAAAAAGAAACAATACTTTTAAAGCCCTCTGCTAGTTTCTGGAGAGCAACTACCCCATTAAACACTGCAAGGCCATGTGCTTCTGAAGCAAAGCTCAAAGACTCATACCTGTTTCATCCTTGCAGCAGCTCTGTTTGAAAACAGAACAGACCTGTCTTTCTGGAAGCAGGCTGGACACATCTGAAGAGCTTGACTGTAAGAATTCTCAGCTTCTACATAATCTGAGGATGATATGGTGAAGAATGATTGGGTTGTGAAAGTCAATTCTTCTGATACTACATATCCCTCCCATAGCTGTCAAATGCACAGCTGCCCATTAATAGGATGAAGGTCTCAAACACAAAGATGGTCCTAGTGTATTAAGTCTGGAGCAGTACAGATCGGTTCCCCCTTTCCTCTCTCTTTAAACAAAAGCACCTGCTCAGTGAACTGACGGCTGAATATGCTGTCAGCAAAGAGCCCTCAGTGCTCAGGTATGCCCTATTCATTTTTCATTTGGGTTAGCAATTTGGAAAGGCGTTTTCAAAGGGGTTAAGGAACTGTACAGATGAAAGACACTAAGACTTGGGCTAATGAAAACATTTCTAGGGTTGGGGTAGAATGCTTGTCTAGCATGTATACAGCCCTAGGTTCAATTCCCAGCTCTGACTTCTCTCTCTCTTTCTCTCTTCAGCAAGGCATTAAGGTTGGTGTTTTCCAAAGCAACAGCTGAAGAGTTTTACCCCTGATTTCTGGATTAATAGATAAGATTACAGAAAAGAAAAACTATGCCTGTGCCAAGAGAGATACCTGGTATCTGGTCACTCTTAGCTGAGAATGATCTGGAGCTGGTAAAAACCCCACACTGCAGGTGCTGGGAAGCAACAGTGTTCTGTGGATGAGCAGCTCTATTTGCTGTTTCCAAATGTTCTCTGGCAAGTCTTCACAGACTCTTAACACAGAATGAGGAGTCAAGATGACCAGACATTATAGCTAATGTCTTACCTCCTTTCTTAAACTGTTCGTTTCCCTCCTCCTTTAGTCTAGTGCTCTCTTCTCTTCTTTTCTGAAAGAGATCCAAGAATTACACATTGTAAGTGAACAAAAACGTTAGTTTTTCTTTACACACTAGTCTATTTTACAGGCATCAGGTTAATGTTTGAGAACTGGGTCAGTTTTCCCAAAATTCTCACAGTGATAGAGGAAAAAAAAAAAAAAAACCATGAGTATCTGGCTAATCGTCAATAGTTCTTTTTGTTGTTATTGAGATGGGGGTTCTTGTTATGTAGCCCAGGCTGGCCTGGAACTCACAATCCTTCTGCTTAGCGTCCAGATTGCTGGAACCACAGGCATGGGCCACCACAACCAACTTGCCAACTGTATTCTTTTTTTGATGGGGGGAGGGGGACAGTACTGGAGGTTGGAACTCAGGGCTTTGCACTTGTACGTTACTTGTTGGGCCACACTTCCAGCCCTTGCCAACTGTATTTGTGTACAACAAAGCCTATGTTTTTTTGGCGTGTCCTTTGCTCTGTTTCTATCTTTTGCTTGGAATGGTAACTCAAGGAACAGTTAATTTCAATGCACTCAAATATGAAACTAAACAATCTTCCCCCTGGTTTGCATACCAGAGTAAATTCTAGTTCAGGCTCCACTACTTACTAGCTGCATGACAAGTTTCAGAATCTTTCTGTGCTCTAGTTTCTTCATCTAAAAAATGAAGCCTTAACAGTTTCTGTTCAATGTAATGGGTTAATGTGACAATATATGCAAAATTTCCAATACAGTGACCGACAAACAAGGACTCAATAAGAACAAACTATTATTTTACTGTAAAAATAAGTAATTTGAGACTTATTTGGTGACAATTGTAGTTTGTGTCATGAAGGAAACACAGTATGCAGGAAGAGTGCAATGGGGGTCCAGCCACATCTGCAGGGTGGTATACTCTTAGAGGCTAACATGAGAAAGTTGAAGAAACCTAGGTAAGTCAGTTTCTCTTTTCTTGGCTTCTTCTAACAAGACAGAAATTCCCACAGATGGCCAAACACACGTGAGACACACAGGCAGAGCAAAGCAAAGACGACGTGTGCTTTCCTCCAGGGTGCCTCCACAAATCTGAGCCATCCTTGTGCAGGGCCATCTACTTCAGTATGGCTCCAGTTTTTCAGTGTATGTGTTGCTGAAGCGAGCACCCTCCAGAAGCATTTTAATGACGAGGCTGGCACAAGCCAACTGGCAGAAGCATCTGCGGGCCTGCCTCCCACCTTTGGACAATGCTTTTGTTAAATGTAAGCAGAATACCCCCAAAATTTCTTCTTTCATTCCTGAAGCTTCTGATCAAAGAAAAACTTCAAAGGGAAGGAATATAGTTGGCAGGCTACTCTGTGCAGAGAGAGGCTTGAAGCCTAAATAATGGATACGCTCAAGATTTGGAACCAAAGTAAGATATTAGTTCTCTGGAGAACATCTATTAATATGCTGTTTATGACACCAGGGTATTTCCCAAATGTCTTATTATTCCATCCTGGACAAAACAGTGCAGTACTGGAATTTGAACTCAGGGCCTCACTCTTGCTAGGCAGTGTTTTACCACTTGAGCCACACCCCTCAGCCCTTTTTGCTTTAGTTATTTTTCAAGCATTTTAGTATTTTTTTGTATTTTTATGTTTATGCTCTGACTGATCTAGTCTGAGATCGTCTTACTTACGCTTCCTGTGTAGCTGGAATGACAGAACTACACTACCATCCAGGTTTTGTTGGTTGAGATAAAGTCTTGTTTATTGTTTGCTGGTACTGTCCTCAAACTGAGATCCTCCTGATCCACCTTGTGAATAGCTAGGATTCAGGGGTGAGCCACTGATCCTGGCCAGAAACCTAATTTTTATGGTAGCTACTATATGGTGAACATGCAACAGTACAATAATTCACTTTAAAATAGAACACAAGAGGAGATGGAGCTATAGCTTGATGGCAGAATGCTTGTCTAGCATGTGTAAGGCTCTGGGTTCAATTTCAGTACCACCGGAAGAAGGAAGAAGGAAGAAGGAAGGAGAAGAAGAAGGAAAAAAACCCCCAAAAAAACAAAAAAACAAATCTGGGTGCCTGTAATCCTAGCTACTCAGGAGGCAGACCTCAGGAGGATCTCGCTTCAAATAGTTTACAAGACCCTATCTCCAAAATAACTAACACAAAAAGGGCTGGTGGAGTGGCTCAAGTGGTGGAGTGGCTCAAGCGGTAGAGTGGCCTTCCAAGAAAGTGGCTGAGGCCAAGTTCAAATTCCCAGTATTGCCTCCCGCCCCCATGCCCCCCAACAAAAAAAAGGTAAGATATAACAACTGAGGCAGGGCTGCTTTAAAAGCTTAGAAGACAGGGAAGACTCAAGGCAGCTCTGTTAAGTCAAAAAAGCAGAAAGCACAATTATTTTTTAAGTCAAAGATCTGGCCAGGACAGGGCTGTAATGGTAGCAAATAAATTCTAATCATTCCTTTTTCTTTACCCCACTTGATCTAGATTCAAGGTCTTAGTCAGAAGCATCCAACAAGCCACATGCAGGTCACATGGCTTGGTTGTTAGGAAATGACGCTAGGGACCTGGGCTACTGCCTTTCAGTAAGATTATAACACAAGAGGGTTCCTCCAAAAAGGAAGGGAGTTAGACGCTGAAGAACCAAGAAAACCCCTAAGAAATGCGATTAGCAGTTATTTTAAAACAGATTCCTCAGTAGGATAATTCATCAAGTTTATAAAGCTTATATTCATCACTTAAGAACTTGCAATTTCCTCTGCTTTAACTGTAATCTCAAGCTCCTTCTGTGCTTCAGAGCCAACTCATCAGGAATGTTCTATGAGCTCAGATGAATCACTCAGACTGCCAGATCTGGCTCTTGGGGTGGTGTGGTGTGGGTTGCCTCCGCCCATGCCCCCAACAAAAAAGGTAAGTATAACAACTGAGGCGGGCTGCTTTAAAAGCTTAGAGAGGGAAGATCAAGGCAGCTCTGTTAAGTCAAAAAGAGAAGCACAATTTTTTTTAAGTCAAAGATCTGGCCAGGACAGGGCTGTAATGGTAGCAAATAATTCTAATCATTCCTTTTTTTTACCCATTGATCTAGATTCAGGTTTAGTCAGAAGCATCCAACAGCCACATGCAGGTCACCATGGCTTGGTTGTTAGGAAATGACGCTAGGGACCTGGGCTACTGCCGTTCAGTAAGATTATAACACCAAGAGGTTCTCAAAAAAGGAAGGGGTTAGACGCTGAAGAACCAAGAAAACCCTAAGAAATGCGATTAGCAGTTATTTTTAAAACAATTCTCGATAGGATAATTCATCAAGTTTAAAGCGTATATCATCACTTAAGAACTTGCAATTTCTCTGCTTTAACTGTAATCTCAAGCTCCCTCTGTGCTTCAGAAGCAACTTGAATGTCTATGAGCTCAGATGAATCACTCAGACTGCCAGATCTGGCTCTTGGGGTGGTGTGGTGTGGGGTGGGGTGGGGTGGTGTGTGTGCGTGCGTGCGTAGTACTGTCAAAAAAAGAAAGAAAGAGAAGTTCCTAATGGGAAAAGAGAAGACCCAAAGCACACCCCAGAAGGAATTACTGGTAAGAGTCAGCTTGAGCAGCCAGCCCAAGAAAGGTTCACCATTTCTTTGTTATAGAAGGACTAAAAGTTGACCTACCAAAGACAAGGGCTCTGGACTATTCCTGAGGTCAATTATTCCAAGGAAGTTGCCTTAGTGTGGTGCTTTGGCTGACAAATCACAGCCCAATGACATAGTAAGCAGGAGATACTAGAAAAGAGCTGCTGCCTCCTGCTCCCCAGATTGTACAAACCAAGGATTAATGCAATTATCAATGTCACGTTAAACATCTCCTTGGAAACAGCTAAATAGCACTGAGGAAAAAGCTGAACTATCTCCCAGCTGTGCCGAGACTGATTTGATCCCAGAACAAAGACTGGGGTTTATTCTACTGCCTGCACATACAGGGGTTCATGCTTGTTATTAGGAGCTCTTACCACTTGGGGCACATCTCTAGCTCTTGAATGTTACTGAATGTATAAATGAATTCACAAGTTGGAGGATGCTGTGGAGGTCCCTGAACTGGGCAAAAAGAGACCTTGTGAAGGCCCCTTTCTGTCCCACTCCTATCCCTCCACATGGGACCCTTTTGGATCATATTAGGTTCCCCAGGATTTCCTGCCAGAGCATCCCTGTCCACAACCTACAAGGGTCTCCATGGGCCTTTTACTTGGGTCTGTCTTTCTAAAAATGGATTTCTATAGTTTATGTAATATTCCAGGTAAAGTATTTTGTACTTTGCCTGCCCTACACTTGGGATTGGCCATTTCCTCAAGGAAGCTTAGATCCATTTAGTAGGAAACGGTATTTAGAAACCAAGATCTGGAGCTGGAGGCATGGCTCAAGTGGGAGAGCACCTGCCTATCAAGTGCAAGGCCAAGTTCAAATCTCAGCACCACAAAAGAAAAAAAAAGAAAGCAAATTCTGTGACTAGGGTATCACTGCTTTTAGGCCCTCTCAGTAAAGAAAATCAGGAATTACATCTTTAAAAAGAAAAAGAGCCAGAAGCCAGCATCTCACACCTATAATCCTAGCTAGTTAGGGAGTAGATTGGGAGGATCAAGGTTCGAGACCAGCCAGGCAAACATTGAAATAATCCCCATCTCCAAAAAAACCAGACCAAAACAGACTGGAGGTATGACTCAAGCAGTAGAGTGCCTTCTTTGCAAACATGAGGCCATGAATTCAAATTCCAGTGTCACCAAAAAGAAAAAACTGGGCAAAATCATAAAAACCAACCATTTTAGTACCCTGGAAATTGACTAAAGGCTTACAACAAAGGGATTACTACTTATTCATGAAAAAGCAGTAATCCAAAGGAAAGAACTATGGATCTGTGTTGTACATGCTGGGGACCATTTCATTCCTCCCCTCATCACTGAGCATGGTAATTCTAACAGAGCAAGGCATGCTATAAATAACTATCAACTGCACTGCTAGAGAAGGCTGACTTGATTTGGGGTAGGAGGAGGAATAATCCATGCCC